CAAACAGACAAATAATAGTACAGATGACACAACATAGAAAACTAAAGACTAAGCAACACGAACCCCACCAAAAACTGGGGGTGATGTCAGGTGCTCCGGAAGGGTAAGCAGATCCTGCTCCACATGTGGCACCCGTCGAGTTGCTTATGTTATTACAAATCTGGTAAATAGTCTAATTCGGTAAGTCACATTCGTGAAAAGGGAAGGGTATTGTAGTTACGACATAAGGAACATATCCGATATCATCTGTGAAACGGTTATTCCATAACGGTCAACCAACTCGTGATGGCGTCCGTAAAATTTACGAAGGGATGACTTCAACTTCACCATTTGGAACTCTTGGTTTAATAACTTCCTTGTGAGCAGCAATCCTCTATCAAGGAAATCATGATAGGAAACACAACCCGGGAATATCGTATCAATTGGGAGATATATACTCCGTTTGATCTGTATTCTGTGGTAATAAGCATTATGTAAACATATCGTATCAATTGGGAGATATATACAAAAGTTTCATAACATTTGGTTGAGGCAAACTAAAGTTAGAGAACGGAAACGAAAATTTCAGCAATATTTATGTTTATAAAGGGGCATAACTCAAGAATGGTACCAGTGACGCCACCCATTTTCAAACTCGATCTGTGTTTTGTGGTAATAAGCATTGTGTATAAGTTTCATAACATTTGGTTGAGGCACACTAAAGTTAGAGAAAGGAAACCAGCTTTGGGACGTACATACGGACATACAGACGGGCAAGGGTAAAACTTAATACCCCCTTCGCTGCGACAGGGGCATAAAAAAATGTATTGTAACTCTGGATTGCAAATCAGGATTTTTAAAAATTGAACAGTATGTTATGTTCACCAATTCCAACAATTATTTAAAGATTCCAGTAAAAAAATCCAAGCAAATTCAATTTATGGTACAGCATATGAAATTGAAAGGGAGCTCCTTTTATTAATCCCAACAATAATGTAAAGTTTTGAGGAAATCAAATTAGAGTTATTGTACGAAGTGTTTACAGACAAACGAACAGACTTTTGTAGACCATAATATGTCTCGTCTTTGAAGGACGTATAAAAACAGTTTATGATGGATGCAAAGTGATGGCAAAAGCTGAGCATTGCCTTTTTGGTCAGATGAGCTAAAAAAAACCCAGCATATATGATTCTATAAGACATAACTTTTAAGTATAGTACATGTTGTTGCTAGGAAATAACTTGAAAGTCATTACCAAACATCAGTACTCCATTACATAAACATTTAAACTTGGCACTTTTATTTATTTTAAAAGTTCAATTTACAATAAAACAAAACAAGATAAAAAACAAAACAAAAAACAACTAAAACTGAGATCATTAAAAGTCCTGAAACAATAAATATAACAATAAACCTTTTAAATATATATAATAATACTATAGATCAAAGAAACCATTTTTTTCATTTGCAGTTTCATACCCTGTCAGACAGATTTTTATTTTTCACAAAGCTTGGACATAAAAATTAATACAAGTCAGTGAAACTTAAATCCTTAAAGAGTAAGCTACTTTTCGTGAGATACAATTATTCTCTCCTAGATGTTTCATTATGTTGACACCCAGTTATATGATTTTAGTATGTTTAATGTGAAATGGGATGTTAAACTTTATAGTTGAAATTAATGAAGTTAAAATGAAAACTACTGAACTTGGATGTAAAATTTTTAAAAGTAATAAAGCCAAAAATTTAACCAAAGCCATTGAATATCATAAAAAATATGAGTCAATTGACCTTTACCCTAGTTAAACTAGCCAGTCTGTTCAAAATGCATCAACAAATCAAATTCTAGTAAAAATGAAAGAACCTTAGCGAGCGTGCTCACATACCCCACGTCCCCACATTGTCATTGGAGAAATAAAATAAGTGCAAGAAAAAAAAATTGTATCAGAAAAAAAATTGAATCATAATTTCCTGTCAATATGCACATCTACATAGTATGACCTTATTATCTACACAGTTTCATGAAATTCTGTAGTGTGGCTTGAGAGGAGTTGCGATGACAAAAGGTTGCAGTAGTATATTGGGCAAATAAGTTCAAAGGGGCGCAACTCCTGGAAAAAAAATTGAATCGTAATTTCCTGTCGATATGCACATCTACTTAGTATGTCCTTATTATCTGAAAAGGTTTCATGAAATTCTGTTGTGTGGTTTGAAAGGAGTTGCGATGACAAAAGGTTGCAGTAGTATATTGGGCAAATAAGTTCAAAGGGGCGTAATTCCTGGAAAAAAAATTGAATCGTAATTTCCTGTTGATATGCACATCTACGTAGTATGTCCTTATTATCTGAAAAGGTTTCATGAAATTCTGTTGTGTGGTTTGAGAGGAGTTGTGATGACAAACTGTTGCAGTAGTACATTAAAGTAAATAAGTTCAAAGGGGCGTAACTCCTAGAAAAAGAATTGAATCGTAATTTCCTATCGATATGCACAACTACATAGTATGTCCTTATTATCTAAAAAGGTTTCGTGAACTTCTGTTGTGTGGTTTGAGAGGAGTTGCGATGACAAGAAACAGGACTGACGGACGGATGGACGGACGGACAGACGGACGGACGGGTCAAAAACATTATACCCTCCGCAACTCGTTGCGTGGGGTATAATACGATAAGGTATGATTACCAATGAGAAAATTTTCCACTAGAGACCAAATGACGTAGATGTTAGCAACTATAACAAGCTGTAACATAACAAATGTAAAACAATTCAAACAAATGATTTAACAACCTGGTTTATGTACATAACTGTAAACGTAATATGATATAAAGCAACAAACAACAACTACTGAATTACAGGTTCCCGACTTGGAACAGGTATATATAGAATATTGTGGGGTTGATGTGTCTGTGGTGCCTCCCCCCTTAGGACAGCGATGTAACGACACACTTTATAAGGCTGTATTTCTGGTAGTTTCTGAAAACAGACAGTGGACAGACACCTCTGTTATTCCAATAACCACTCAATTTTATTCTTACTGAAGTCAATACTTATTCCTTGTGACCTAAATTTAAAATTTGTATCAATGATTCCTGGCATAAAATAACCAAAGTGCTTGTGAGCACTTAAGGGTAAAGATTACTTTCATTTTGAAATGTTGCAATAATAGAATATCAAATTGTATTTTGCTACGGAAATTAAAAAAAATTAGTTAGGAGTTATCTTCCTTTGTATGTTTGTAGTTATTTATTAGTATTATTATTAGTTACCTATTTTTATAACAGATTCATACACCATGCATTACTTATGTAATTTTTAATAAAAAAAAAAGTTTTTTTGACAAGTATTGTAATTGAAATACACATCATATTATTACATAAATATCAAAGTATAACATATCATCAATAAATTGCATGACATTGACTGGATAGGATCTAAATAATGATCACTTTACTGCACTATTTTGTTTGAACTATTAAAGGTAGTGATAAACCTTGGAAGATATAGATATCAAGTCAGTATCATAGAATTTTGATTGCATTTCGTGCAATCTTTACCCCAAAAAATAAAAGTTATCTTAAAATCATTGTCTATAAATGACAAATAATCACATGATCAATAATAAGTTCAGATTAAAAGTAAGTCTAACATTGGAAGCCTTATTATCTTACTTTAATACAACAACACAGCTCAATGTCAGTTTATGATTTCTAATGATTTTATCGCATGATACATGAAAAAACAAAAAAATACTAATTTAGATTTATTTTACAAAATTACCTTATTGTAATCATAATTATTCCAAGTTTAATGATGTTTCCTAACACAGAATAGTTAACAAATTACAGACATTTCCATTAATAGGTAATTTAAATATAATAATAATACAATTGCAAGCATACTTCATCTTAAAATCTAAGACTGTTTTACATTTTTAACACTAATAACAAACATTATTTTAATACAATAAACAAGAGTGCACACGCTGAAATGTCTCGCCTTTTTAACTAATCACTGATATTATGTTGATAGTCCTAAATATAAAGATTTATTACAACTGTCACATAAACTTAACATTAACCAAGAAAACTAAACATTGACCAATAAACCATGAAAATGAGGTCAAGGTCAGATGAACCATGCCAGGCAGGCATGTACAGCTAACAATTATTCCATACAACAAATATAGTTGACCTATTGCTTATAGTTTAAGAAAAACAGACCAAAACACAAAAACTTAACACGGAGCAATGAACTGTGAAAATGAGGTCAAGGTCAAATAAAACCTGTGCGACTGACATATAGATCATAAAATATTTCCATACACCAAATATAGTTGACCTATTGCATATAGTATTAGAAAAAAAGACCAAAACTCAAAATCTTAACTTTGATCATTGAACCATGAAAATGAGGTCAAGGTCAAATGACACCTGCCCGCTAGACATGTACACCTTACAATCATTCCATACACCAAATATAGTAGACCTATTGCATACAGCATAAGAAAAACAGACCTAAACACAAAAACTTAACTATAACCACTGAACCATGAAAATGAGGTCAAGGTCAGATGACACCTGCCAGTTGGACATGTACACCTTACAGTCCTTCTATACACCGAATATACTAGACCTATTGCTTATAGTATCTGGGATATGGACTTGACCACCAAAACTTAACCTTGTTCACTGATCCATGAAATGAGGTCGAGGTCAAGTGAAAACTGTCTGACAGGCACGAGGACCTTGCAAGGTACGCACATACCAAATATAGTTATCCTACTACTTATAATAAGAGAGAATTTAACATTACAAAAAATGTTAACTTTTTTTTCAAGTAGTCACTGAACCATGAAAATGAGGTCAAAAACATTGGACATGTGACTGACGGAAACTTCGTAACATGAGGCATCCATATACAAAGTATGAAGTATCCAGGTCTTCCACCTTCTAAAATATAAAGCTTTTAAGAAATTAGCTAACGCGCCGCCAGATCACTATCCCTTTTTGTAATGTTAAAGGCTCGACAAAAATTACAGTTTTAATGCTAAATTAAGTATTAGTTTTCATGTTTCATTTTCATTCTAGCAGCAAGCTCTACAGGTAAAATATTAGCTAACCTAGTAAGAAGGTAATTAACAACTTCTAACTCATTCTTCTTTTTCCCCTTTTCTTTCTTGGCTTTTGTAATGGCAAAATTGACAATAGACATGAATACTGTAAGATATATAAATATTACAGCTAATACAAAAAGAAAGAAAAATATAGGACCCAGAATCCTATGGGCACGCTGGAGACCATAAAAATCAGAAACACCAATGGCAAAATTAAATAATGTCAAAATACAACTTGGAACTCCTTTGTAATTTGGAGAGACATGTCCAAATACCAGAAGAGCAAAGTGGCCAAAGGCAAAGATTAAAACAAAAATCAGAACAGAAAAATTACAAAGTGATTCCTTGGCATAGTTTAAGGTAATGGATAACAACTGCATGTTTTGATTAAATGACAGAATTTTTAGAAATTTGATAATGATAAGGAATACAAGAAATGCCATCATGTATAACTGTATAAAATCCCACCATACAGCAGAGTAAAAACTGACAAACTCCTGTCTATTGGACTGTTTATATTTATCCATTATCCATGTTATTGTTACCATTCTCTGGAAAAACAGACCTATAACACTGTAACACAGACATATCACTAGAAACTCAATCAAATTCCAGAAATAAGTGAAATAATATCTATAACCCATTCTTTTAAATTTTTTCCCTTCATAGTATGTAAAAATAACAGTGAAAAAGGCAAATAAAACCTCACAAACTGATGCAGCAATCTCAGTACTGTCACCATAGTGATATAACTTAGTGGTAAAAATCTGAAAAAATGGAAAAATTCCACGATTTGCAGAAAATTCAAACAGGAACATGACTACACTAAACATATTGACATTAGGATTATACAAAGTAAATTCCACAAAAATTGCACTAGTTCTTCCATCTATCCAACCATCAGTCATTAATTTGTCCAGTGTCTGTTGTGACATGGGGCTAGGGATAATCTCTTTGACATATCCACCACCACTGTATGTGGTCTGGGTACCAGTATAAGGAATGGTTCTAAGCTGCCATGCTGTCTGGTAGGTCCAGTGATCAGCTGTGAGAGGAGCTATTGTATTGGTCTGGTTCCAGGTTTGGTTGTAGTGTTTGGTATCCTCATTGCCAAGCCAATATTTGTCTGAACATTCCACAGTAAAAGAGAATGCTTTTCTTATATATTCTGGTGTAGGACAAGTATCTGGAAAGATAAAAAAGTATGTAAGCTTGAATTAAATTTACTGTTTTCCTTCGTTTAAGGACAATAACACGTAAAAAGAGTCATCCAATGACTTTAGTCATTTTAACTATTTTCCAGATCTTGTCTTGATGATCATTTTTACTGTTGACAGTTTCTACCTATCTGTTTTCGAAATGATAGACAAAAAGATTCAAAATTTATCAAAAATTTTCATAAAACAGCAAACACCTGAAAAGGATTGTCTTGATAATTTTCATAGAAACAGATAGCAAGAAGATCTTGTCATGCTGTCAGAGCATTTATACCCATATTTGATCATCCCTATCTATTATGATTTTTCAGATATTGACAATATAATTGTATTTTCAGATATTAGACAATATAATTGTATTTTCAGATATTAGACAATATAATTGTATTTTCAGATATTAGACAATATAATTGTATTTTACCCTTATTTTCAGATATTAGACAATATAATTGTATTTTCAGATATTAGACAATATAATTGTATTTTCAGATATTAGACAATATAATTCTATTTTCAGATATTAGACAATATAATTGTATTTTAAGATATTAGACAATATAATTGTATATATCTTACCCTTATTTTCAGATATTAGACAATATAATTGTATTTTCAGATATTAGACAATATAATTGTATTTTCAGATATTAGACAATATAATTGTATTTTACCCTTAATTTCAGATATTAGACAATATAATTGTATTTTCAGATATTAGACAATATAATTGTATTTTCAGATATTAGACAATATAATTGTATTTTAGCCTTATTTTCAGATATTAGACAATATAATTGTATTTTCAGAAATTAGACAATATAATTGTATTTTCAGATATTAGACAATATAATTGTATTTTAGCCTTATTTTCAGATATTAGACAATATAATTGTATTTTCAGATATTAGACAATATAATTGTATTTTACCCTTATTTTCAGATATTAGACAATATAATTGTATTTTCAGATATTAGACAATATAATTGTATTTTAGCCTTATTTTCAGATATTAGACAATATAATTCTATTTTCAGATATTAGACAATATAATTGTATTTTCAGATATTAGACAATATAATTGTATCTTAGCCTTATTTTCAGATATTAGACAATATAATTGTATTTTCAGATATTAGACAATATAATTGTATTTTAGCCTTATTTTCAGATATTAGACAATATAATTCTATTTTCAGATATTAGACAATATAATTGTATTTCAGATATTAGACAATATAATTGTATTTTACCCTTATTTTCAGATATTAGACAATATAATTCTATTTTCAGATATTAGACAATATAATTGTATTTTACCCTTATCTTCAGATATTAGACAATATAATTGTATTTTCAGATATTAGACAATATAATTGTATTTTCAGATATTAGACAATATAATTGTATTTTCAGATATTAGACAATATAATTGTATTTTACCCTTATTTTCAATTTTAAGCCATTTCGTCAATGTTGGCTGATTGCTTAAACAAATACAACAAACTTTATACTACATACCATAAGGACCAATCACTTCAAGGTCTGGTGGTTTCAGGAGATTTCAAAAAAAGTTTAATATGACAAAGTACCAAAATGATAGCAATAGCTCTCGCATGGCCCATATGGACATCGAGCTAAAAAGGTGATATCAACTGAATTTCACATTATTGTTTGGGGAAAATTTCTTTTAATAATAATAGTGGCCTTTTGATAAGAAGTCAAAGGGCACCTAATAAAATTCTGAAAAGGGTCTTCTGAGACTTAAGATATACATTGGATAATCATGATGATATCTGAAATATTTAAAGACAATATCGAAAGTACAAAAGTCTACCTTCTTGGACTCTAAGTTGTCTCAGTCTATATGGTCCAACCAGAAAGAAATCATCTCCATGGGTTTCTACTGTTTTGTCTCCATTTTGTATATCATCCAAACCTGGTAATGCTTTAACTCTCATATAATCCCAGAACTTAGGTACTGATGTTATCTACAATAAATAGTTCATGTTTTAGTGATGTATCTACAATAAATAGTTCATGTTTAAGTGATGTATCTAAGTTAAATAGTTCATGTTTAAGTGATGTATCTAAGTTAAATAGTTCATGTTTAAGTGATGTATCTAAGTTAAATAGTTCATGTTTAAGTGATGTATCTACAATAAATAGTTCATGTTTAAGTGATGTATCTAAGATAAATAGTTCATGTTTAAGTGATGTATCTAAGTTAAATAGTCCATGTGTAAGTGATGTATCTAAGTTAAATAGTTCATGTTTAAGTGATGTATCTAAGTTAAATAGTTCATGTTCAAGTGATGTATCTAAGTTAAATAGTTCATGTTTAAGTGATGTATCTACAATAAATAGTTCATGTTTAAGTGATGTATCTAAGTTAAATAGTTCATGTGTAAGTGATGTATCTAAGATAAATAGTTCATGTTTAAGTCAGGTATCTAAGTTAAATAGTTCATGTTTAAGTGATGTATCTACAATAAATAGTTCATGTTTAAGTGATGTATCTAAGATAAATAGTTCATGTTTAAGTGATGTATCTAAGTTAAATAGTCCATGTGTAAGTGATGTATCTAAGTTAAATAGTTCATGTTTAAGTGATGTATCTAAGTTAAATAGTTCATGTTCAAGTGATGTATCTAAGTTAAATAGTTCATGTTTAAGTGATGTATCTACAATAAATAGTTCATGTTTAAGTGATGTATCTAAGTTAAATAGTTCATGTGTAAGTCAGGTATCTAAGATGAATAGTTCATGTATCTAAGTTAAATAGTTCATGTGTAAGTCATGTATCTAAGTTAAATAGTTCAGGTGTAAGTCATGTATCTAAGTTAAATAGTTCATGTGTAAGTCATGTATCTAAGTTAAATAGTTCATGTGTAAGTCATGTATCTAAGTTAAATAGTTCAGGTGTTAGTCATGTATCTAAGTTAAATAGTCCATGTTTAAGTGATGTATCTAAGTTAAATAGTTCATGTGTAAGTGATGTATCTCAGTTAAATAGTTCATGTTTAAGTGATGTATCTAAGATAAATAGTTCATGTGTAAGTGATGTATCTAAGATAAATAGTTCATGTTTAAGTGATGTATCTAAGTTAAATAGTTCATGTGTAAGTGATGTATCTAAGTTAAATAGTTCATGTGTAAGTCAGGTATCTACAATAAATAGTTCATGTTTAAGTGATTTATCTAAAAATAAATAGTTCATGTTTAAGTCATGTATCTAAAGTTGAATAGTTCATGTTTAAGTGATGTATCTATAATAAATAGTTCATGTTTAAGTGATTTATCTAAAGTTAAATAGTTCATGTTTAAGTCATGTATCTAAAGTTAAATAGTTCATGTTTAAGTGATGTATCTAAGATAAATAGTTCATGTGTAAGTCAGGTATCTAAGTTAAATAGTTCATGTGTAAGTGATGTATCTTAAGTTAAATAGTTCATGTGTAAGTGATGTATCTAAGATAAATAGTTCATGTTTAAGTCAGGTATCTAAGTTAAATAGTTCATGTTTGAGTGATGTATCTAAGTTTAATAGTTCATGTTTGAGTGATGTATCTATGTTAAATAGTTCATGTGTAAGTGATGTATCTAAGTTAAATAGTTCATGTGTAAGCCAGGTATCTAAGTTAAATAGTTCATGTGTAAGTCAGGCATCTAAGTTAAATAGTTCATGTGTAAGTCTTGTATCTAAGTTAATAGTTCATGTGTAAATCATGTATCTAAGTCAAATAGTTCATGTGTAAGTCTTGTATCTAAGTTAAATAGTTCATGTGTAAGCGATATATCTAAGTTAAATAGTTCATGTGTAAGTCATGTATCTAAGTTAAATAGTCCATGTGTAAGTGATGTATCTAAAGTTAAATAGTTCATGTACAAGTGATGTATCTAAGTTAAATAGTCCATGTGTAAGTGATGTATCTAAGTTAAATAGTTCATGTGTAAGTGATGTATCTTAAGTTAAATAGTTCATGTGTAAGTGATGTATCTAAGTTAAATAGTTCATGTTTAAGTCAGGTATCTTAGTTAAATAGTTCATGTTTGAGTGATGTATCTAAGTTAAATAGTTCATGTGTAAGTCATGTATCTAAGTTAAATAGTTCATGTGTAAGTCAGGTATCTAAGTTAAAAAGTTCATGTGTAAGTCATGTATCTAAGATAAATAGTTCAAGTGTAAGTCATGTATCTAAGATAAAAAGTTCATGTGTAAGTCAGGTATCTAAGTTAAAAAGTTTATGTGTAAGTCAAGTATCTAAGTTAAATAGTTCACGTTTAAGTCATGTATCTAAGATAAATAATTCGTGAGTAAGTCAGGTATCTTAGTTAAATAGTTCATGTGTAAGTCATGTATTTAAAGTTAAATAGTTCATGTGTAAGTCATGTATCTAAGTTAAATAGTTCATGTGTAAGTCAGGTATCTAAGTTAAATAGTTCATGTGTAAGTCATGTATCTAAGATAAATAGTTCAAGTGTAAGTCATGTATCTAAGATAAAAAGTTCATGTGTAAGTCAGGTATCTAAGTTAAAAAGTTTATGTGTAAGTCAAGTATCTAAGTTAAATAGTTCACGTTTAAGTCATGTATCTAAGATAAATAATTCGTGAGTAAGTCAGGTATCTTAGTTAAATAGTTCATGTGTAAGTCATGTATTTAAAGTTAAATAGTTCATGTGTAAGTCATGTATCTAAGTTAAATAGTTCATGTGTAAGTGATGTATCTAAGTTAAATAATTCATGTGTAAGTCATGTATCTAAGATAAATAGTCTCTAGGTGGAAGTTTTTCAATAAATCATCCTTGCAAAATACTTATTATGAGTGAAAGGGATTCTTGACATTAGACAAGAGACTAATAATATAAGAAATTGGCAACTTCTTGAAATCTAATGATAGTAAGCTGCTCTCAAATTACTTTGGAAAGGGTCAAGTACAAACTAAAATCTTAAAATCTAAAAAAAAAAAATGTGTCAATCACACTATTACATTTCTATATTCATTGAACCACAAAATCTGGATCAAAACCCTCATTTAGCAAAATAAAACTGATGTGACCATAATCTCACTGTAAACTACCTTGACCAGAAACTTCAACCAGATACAAGACATATTGTCATAAAAAGAAATGATTCCTTGACATCATACAGTAAATGGATTTACAAATCTTGTTGTATTTTTTCTTCCTGGTAAAGGGAGACACAAAAAGCAAGAAATATTAATAAATCTTACAAGTATACAATAATTTGAAGCGTGAAGATAACTTACATCAGGGAAACTCAATCGATCTTTCTTCCAACTTTTTCTAATAAACATATCCTGGATAGCATTACCAGAGTAGAATGATGTCCTGACATTTCTGTGGCCGTGGATAACAAATAATACTATGGTAACGAACAAAAAGTACAAAATGATCTCCCTTAGTCGTTCTTCAATCATTCCTTCCATCTGTAACTTTGACATTATCTTATGGAGCAGTTCTTTGGAGGCTGGATCTGGTACAATGTGCTGGGGTAATGTTTCATCATTTTTATCTTCTTCAAACAGAACTAAAAGCATAATCATACTCCTTAATAAGTAAATATCTAACATCAGAATCTCAGTATCAAAGAATTCACAAAACTAAATTGTTCTATCACAATGCAGTTGAAATTGTGTTATTTTTAACAATTTTGATGTTTTCAATAAGCTATCTACACAACCCTGTAGATTATGTTGTTTTAGAGGTATGTACCAACAAGTATTGGTTAAACTGTAGTGTAGAACATTATGGCATATGTGGGAACTGCCATTATGAAATTCATGAAAACTTATTTGTGGATGACATTTTACATTGAGAATATTCTGGTATTAAATAAATCATTAATTTTAAAACTAAAATTATAATAAAAATTGATCTGATTAATATACCAAAAGTCAACAAGATTGCTACAGTGTAGAGAAATGTGCCCCACCTAGCTTTTATAATACTTTGTAATAATCTCAAAACTCTTTTGTTTTAATTCTACAGGGACAATGGCTATTACAGAGAGATAAGACTATGCATCAGTAAAGGGTCATATGTTAAAATGGTTGTAGCAACAATTATTTTTTTTTTCTTGTTTAAATTGATCTTGTGTGATAGTTTTTTTTTATCTACTTGGAACTCCACCATTCAAAGGAAAACATTGGAGCGCATATGTTGTTTTTATTGTTTGATTGATTATATATACAAGCAGAATGTTTTCGTTTCAGCAACTTGTTATTCTTTGGCATGCAAAGCCCTGCTTGACATAGTCTCCCAAATGACAAACCACCCTACCTACTATGAAAACTTATGGACAAATGATATTAGAGGAGAATTGTGACTAACATAGACTATTACTGTGTCCACTGGTTCGAGAACACAGTTATCGTCCTTAGATTTTCGTTGTCTAGTCCCTAGTGTGGACAGTGTATAACTTTTTTTTCATTCACTTTCCAAATTTATTTCTTTATATTTTATATTTTATGCATGAAATATTAAGTAAGGGGATGAAATTACATCTTAAACAAATTTGGGTGCTGAATCTTTATGTTTAGTAGTGATTTGGTCCAGTTAAAAAAGGTCAAAAACTAGTATGTCTGAAGCTGTCAAACCAAGGCTTCCAAAACGGTCAAATATGCCGGACATTTGTATAATGTCCGGTAAAAGTCCGGCTGGGAAAAACACGAAACGGTCATCTACTTTTTAGTTTTCAAGGCTTTCTTAAGAGACGGTCATTTTAACATAATTCGCGATCTTTATGACCCAACATTTCCGGTCATAAAAGTGACATGATCATTAAGTACAATCAAAACAACCCCTACTTTAATCTTTTTGAGATAGAGCAGGTGTGATTTTTTTAATTTGACTTTATGGTCTAAAAGAAATGCACTACGAAATAACTGTGTTCTCGGCCCACTGCTGCAGTGTTCAAATAAAGCAAATATCCTTTATACTGTGGATTCTCTATTATTCTATACCAAGTTTTCCTAAATTTTGTGGGTAAAGATAAGCAATGAATTTACATGTCCAATGAAATACAAATTTTCTATAGGCTTGTATGCAGACTTTCACTAAAACATGAAATCAAATATCCACGAAAATACAATTTATCCTCAATCCAAGAAAATAAATGAATCCTGTATATCATACTAAAAGAATATACATTTTCTCAGATTTATGTAAAGGTAAAATATTTGGAAGTTAGGGAGCTACCATTTGATATTTATGGGGGGGGGGGGGGGGCTAGGATGAAAAAAGTTTGTCCTGCATTTTTTTTTTATTTGTAATCTCTGTCCTGCCTTTTTATTTTTCACTCTATTCGGTCCTGCCTTTTTTTTTTTTTAGTTTATCCTGACTTTTTTTTTACATAAATTGTCATCCTGCCTTTTTTTTGGCAAAGTGTCTCATCCTGCCTTTTTTTTTACTCAAAACTCCTGTCCTGCCTATTTTTTTCAAATTTCATCCTAGCCCCCCCCCCCCATAAAAATCAAATGGTAGCTCCCTTACACAACAATGGAAATTTGTCTTTTGTTGGGAATTAAATTTCTCAGTTTAACTAGACAACTAGTTCTAATAAAACTGCCACATCAAAAATACTAGTATCATTTAGACAATTTATTTACCTGCATCTTCGAGTTTAATATCGACTTTAAGTCCTTCAATCTCTACTGGTTTCTTGAAAATATATGTCAAAATCATTGCTATAGCAAACACTTTAATGGGTTGCTGGAAACAGGCACTTTGGAAGAAAGCTGTGAAAAATGACACAAGCCATTCTACACTTTTCTGGTACCCATACTTAAGACCATACAACATGACAAAGTATGAGTTTATCAGGGAAACAGTTATGACAATAGTCCAGGCTATATATAAACACCACCATGGCAACCTATAAAAATATAAGGGAAAAAGCTATGAAAATGTCAGAAGCTTTATTCACATATGTACCACTCAAAAACTTGCTGCAGTTATCAATTATTTGAATTAAACAAAAAATGGATAGTTAATTTTTTTAGCTGTAGATGGGGATTATTTGTGTACTAAATTTGATAATCTATATCACTCCAGCACTTATCATTAAGCCACACCAATTTGATTTGTAGTTCATCGGACAAAAGCTCCAAAAAATATGGGGCGAGCGAGCGAAATTTTTTTGATTGTATTTATTTCTTGAAAATTAGTTTTTGTGAGGAGAGTGCTCTACAAGTGAAGAGAGCGGTATATTTTTTTTTTAATTTTGAAATTCAGAATTTATATACATGTTAAAACTGAGTTACTTCATGAAAAAACATGCTCTAATGCATATAATTTGATGTATTGGTGCCTGTACCATACCCGACTTTCTAGTCTCGCTGTGGTTCAGTTGATTATTTTCATCAAATAAGCTTTGTCTGCATGTGTATATATTAAGAAAGCATTGCAGATGCAGTTTAGGATAAATGACATATGTTGAATAAATCAAAACATATGTATGTATCCCAAAAATGCCCCTGAACAATATTTTTTGATATAGTTGTTATCATTATATGGTAATGATTGTTTATTGGCTGCTTGACATCCAGTTGGAACTATTCATATTTAGGATCAACATAATGAGTGATGTGAATATTTCAACAACATCATGAGCATGATGAGTAAGATAGTTATATTGATATGCATGTAGATCTCAATGTATTAAAATATCCCTTTAAAATACCTGTCACCACATTCACATGGATTTTTCTGACTTAGCAAAATATACTCTTTCCTTTTGCTCCTAAAAGCTGCAATGCATTTAAAACTCTTTAACTTGACTAGAAGTGGTTGATAACACATCACAAATTATTATGAGCATGCTAATCCCAATACCACTATGTTGGAACTCTTCAATTTATTCTTACAAAAGAGATCTGCTTGCGTCCAAAAGACTAAAAAGGGAATATGGGGTTTCATCAAAATAAGATAATTCTGTGATATTTTTAAAAGTTTATGGGAATTTAATATTAATTTCATTTAAGATAGACAGTCTATGTCTGTTGAAACTGATTTCGAGATTACTCTGATGTCCAACGGCTATTTTGCCAGACAAGCTGGAGCCCAGGTCCCTCAGCCCCAGCTTGTCTGGCAAAACAGCCGTTGGACGTGAGAATAAAAATATTGATGTGATTGTGGTCATCTAACTAAAGATTTTTAAAAGTCTTTGTAAGAATCAGGCAATTTAGAAATATTTCAAAACATGGCAGAAAAAAAAACCACCAACCTAACCACCCCATTTTGAAGGTACTCTCATCCTGAGTTAGAAATTGTAGGTCCATCGCTTCTGCGTGTCTGGTAATTCGAGAAATATCTAGATAAATTTTGGTTAGAATGATAGCAAATTACGGAGCTATCTCCCCTTAATTGTTAATTTCTAGTGCATTTCAACCAAATTATATCTTGTACTACCAGATCAGAGAAAGGAAACGAATGTTATATTCATGTACCATTATACATTCTGAACTTAAATTCATGTAAAGTTGACTTGGTTTTGTTTGTCATGTTTTCACCACTGCCTGATTCTTATGCAGATTGGCACTTAAGTTGTTAACTTCTACGTCATTTGGTCTCCTGTGAAGTGTTGTTACATTAGCAATCATACCACCATATTTTAAAATTCTGTTAATGAGTACATTTAAGTTTAAAAGTTAACCTAATATTTCAGGTTATGTCTATTAATGACAACATTTAAAGTCTAGATTACTAACATTTTTGGTTGTGGCGGTTGAGGCTTCTCTTCACCAGTCAACTCTTCATCATCATCATCATTTATAAGTTGCTTTTCCTCCACAATATCTATCTTTTGAAATGAGTCATCAAACTGGTATTTTCCCCTAGAAGACCTTTGTTTTTTTGGCTTTATGGAAGTTCTCAGAAACAGCTTTACAATGATCAGATTAATTGGAAACATGATCAAACCACATTCTATGCCAATAACTATATCTGCTAATGACAAAGAGATAGATGTCACTTGAACCTGATCATCTGGGTCATCAGTAGGTACTCCATGGAACATAATACTTGTCAACATTGCACACAGAAGTAAGGATAAACAACAACTAAGTCTCTGAACACGTGTGAAACTACTTTGGCATGGCTTGGACAAGATACTCAACCATAGATGACCATCTCTAATATCACGACTAGATTTAAGCAGGAATTCCTGGTTTTTATAAGTATTGAAATCTTCTGGTTTTACACATGGGATAGTAACTTTGACAGAACCTCTTTCAACACCAACCCACTCACCAAATATAAAGCTGTATACTTTATTTGTTCTCAAGTCCTGAACCAATACTCTTGTTAAAAACCTAAAGTGTACATAATAAATAAAATTATTCACTACACTTATATGGACTGTACTGTATAACATTAGTATCTTATTTCTATATTGTACTAAAATAATGTATTACTATTTACCAAGAACTATAATTTGAAATCAACTATTAAAAAAAAAACTGGGTGAAGTTTATAAACAATATTTGAGCTGCGTTGGATAGAAATCCGACGACCTTATGCAAGTGCACGTATACATGAATAAGTATAAGATTTTGATTGATTTTGGAACATTCAAATGCGAAATAAAAGATAAAATTTGGTCTGTTTTGTATATGGAAAGCCAACGGGGTCAAAATTCTTAATTCGTAGATTGTCAATTTGTAACTTGTAACTGTGTAATTCCAAAATTCTTTATTTGTAAATTGTCAATTTGTAGCATGTAACTGTGTAATTTCAAAATTCTTTATTTGTTAATTGTCAATTTGTAACTTGTATCTGTGTAATTTCAAAATTCTTAATTTGTAAATTGTCTTATACAAATGTTAGATCTAATGAATTACAAAGTCGCAAATAAAGAATCTCACAGTTACAAATGTTCAAATTCAAGAATTTAAATACAGTAACAAGTTACAGATTGACAATTTACGAATTAAGAATTTAGAAATTACACAGTTACGAATTTCAAATTGACAATTTAGGAAATAGAATTTTGGAATTTCACAGTTAAAAGTTACAAATTGACAATTTACGAATTAAGAATTTTTACCCTGTTGGCTTTCTATTTTTGTAGGGTTCTTATAAGAACTCAATTTTCAAACAGTTACAGACTTTCCGTAGAGATTTTTTCAACCCGAAATAGGTTAACAGGTGGATTGATATTCATTTGCGTAAGGTCGATTTCTATCCGACGCAGCTCATTTTTCAGAATCACCCGATTCATAGATATAAATTTTCTTATGTTCATATAGATCCATTTTTGAATACTCTTATACCTAGTATTAAATAGATTTAAAACAGCAAACTGGTCTTTTGTTTCATTAATCAGTGTCATTGTAAAAACAATCAAAGTCAACAGCATAAATGGAATTTGTCAATATCAAACTTTTTGTCTTGACAAACATTTGAAAATTTGCCTACTGATCACTGTCCTCTAAATATCTATTTATTGATGGTAAGTTTGTTGGTAGGTTGCCGACTCATTGACTCTACATATATGTGTATTAATGGAAAGTTTGTTAATAGGTTGCTGACTCATTGACTCTTGTCTAAATCTTGTACTGCCACACTGCTTATTCATATCTTTATCAATGACAAAATTTCAAAAACAAAAAAACAAAAAAACAAGTAAAAAAAGACATACATAGCTACTTCGTAGTCTCTGCAAAAAGTCTTAAATACATTTTATAATCAAAGAAGAATAATATATACCATGATGGGGAAGTTCCTGAGTTGTCATGCCAGATGGTTATAGAATTTAAATCACCAAGGTGATGAGATGATGTAAACATAAACCAATCTTCCCAGCCTGCCTTGAAACATCCTTTACCAACAACCGAGTCTGACAAACAATGTTTAGTACTGTGACCTTTATCCCCACTGACATAACAAGATACTTTGGCTGTTGTTTCGGCACCTGCCCACCATCCTGTTACAACACACATTAAATACTGGTATGAATGGTTAGGGTTGGCATCTGATAGGATCACAATGCCAGCCTGTAAGAAAAGCATAGTACTGTAAGATACATTACCAGACTTAATTACAACCTGAAGACTTAAAGTTGGCATCATTGTGGCAAGTAAAAGATAAGACTATATTAACTGACAAGTAATAGAAACAGAGGGCATATATTAAAGGTTGGTACCGGTATCAGAGAAGTTGGCACTGCCTTAAAATCAGCCTTCAAAGTAGGTTTAAAGACCAGGTTGCCTTTTGGCCAACAGATATAAAATTTCAGTGGCTAATTCAAAATTTTAGTGACCAAACCATGACTAAGTTAACAAAAAAGTAAATATTCATTGAGGTTTGATAATAAATTTTAATACTGGAACAAGGCAACCACAGTGAGAATTCTAATTTGATTCCTGATCAACCAGGAGAACTCTTTTAGCCAGCTGTTTTGGAATTTTCTTATAAATTTTTCCAGTACCACTTGAAGTTGTTGCTGCGATTTTACGCTTAATCTTAACATTTGAAGATGTACTTGGCTCTTCAGAAGCCAGAGTTTCTATAGAGGAACTCTACGCCCCTTCTTTTTGTTTCTTAGCTGGTGAAACATCGTTGTTTTGAAAAATACGGACAGCAACATCTGTTTGGCTGCCATGATGTATTGGCCCCGAAAACACTTCATCGGATGCTTGAATTCCCAGTTAAGTTAATAGCTTTATAGACCCTGTTAAGATTAAAAATGCTTGAAATCATATTCAAGATTTAACATGCATTCAAGCGCTGGTATGACTGTGAATAAAACTTAATAAAATACGACCAGAGGCAGGTTGATTACCCGGAATTTTACGGTCGCCAGGTCCAAATAGTACCAGTCGCCAAATGGCAACCAACAATGAAATTAAGTTCGCTTGGAGGCTTTATGGGTCGCCCAAGCAACTGTTTTAATAGCCTAAATTGAGGGCTTAAAATATCGTTGACTGATCATAGTGATGTCCTAACTATCAGATAACAGTGATCATCAGACAACAATACAAACTTGTCAATGTTAAGATGGTCCCCCATTCCCTAATTATATAGATATGGAAAAGTTGATCCTAGATTTTCAGTATTTCCTTACAGGAATCAATTTTTTGCTCTGACCGTAACATTTTTATGAGCATTTCTTCAAAAACATTTCACCACCATATGAGTTGTTGTAACTGCTAACATATTTAATCAAAATTGATTAAAACCATGTTCATTGACAAATTGCAATTGGCAAACAGTGATGTATAATATGGGAACTGGACTCAAACCATTTTTTGATTCTTCAGATTTTAAGCATAATATCTAATTCAAAGCTGTGTAGGACCACTACATTTTTAGTAGGACCAGAAAAATTTGCTACCGATTTCCTTACCTGAGCTTCATCCCTTTTGTCAGCTTTCCTGGCCCAGAATACTCCAGCCAAGAACAAAAACCATACAACTATAACAGTACATACTACTATAGGGTTGTCAAAGAAAGTCAGGAATAATGCTGCATCAGCAAATGGATCTACAAAATTTGGCAATACCAAAAAACTGCCAGAAAATGATGTTAAATGTGTACATTGACAGTGAATTACTTCCCCTGTTGTCTGTTCTGAGACCTGAAATAAATGTAAGTGTTTTTGAAGCCAACTCTCAAGTATAATATTCCTTTTTTTCAGAAGCACAAGTGTACAATTCAACAAATCAAATCTGTCACCCCAAATAAATGTCTTGTGACATATTGCATTTCCTTTGTTTCCTTTTACCTATTATTATTATTTAAGCTTTTTTGTCTGAGGCAATTATCAATAGATTTAAAGGTGTACTATTTTAATTTTTGCTGGTACATGTTTTGTGAAATAAGAGTGCACACGCTGAGATGTCTCGCCGGCTTGAATTTTATGTTGTGTCTTTAAGATCATGGTTTTATTACCGGTGTCATATGGTATTTTGAACCCCCTGAAAAGTGAACCCGGGGTCAAAATACCATATGGAAAATTGACCCCGGGGTCCTCTTTACTGAACTTTATCAGTCATCCATGAAAATGTGGTCACAATCAGATAAACACTGCCTGACAGACATGCACACCTTACAATTTTTTTTATACACCTAATATAGAGAATCTATTGCTTACTTGGAGAATTTGAGAATAGGACCTAACTTTTACCATTCAATCATGACTATGAGAACATGGTCAGATGAACAGTGCCAGACAAACATGTACACTTTACAATCTTTTCATACACCAAATCTAGTGGACTTGTAGTAACTGAGAAACAGACCTTAACATGAACTATAGGCTCTAAAGAGCCTGTGTCGCTAACCTGCATCTTCAACAATGGCCACTTTTAAATAATAAACTATTAACACAGAGATATGTGTCACCTTTTTGTTATTTCGATAATGCAAATGTTGAAATTATAATAGCAATACTTTAACATGTACGTTATGCAAATATTCAAAGTCAATGAACCATGACTGAAGGTACAGGGATAAACAATATCCATGGAAATCAGATGTGCCAATGCTAATACAACTGCATACCAAATACCATTGACATTTCATGTGTCATTCTCTTTAAACAAACCTAAACACAAACATTAACTTGTAAACTATGCAAAAGTTTCTAAGTCAATGAACCATAATGAGGAGGTGTGGTTATATAATCTCAGTGGAAACGAAACTTGCAAATACCAATACTTTTGTATACCAATATCAATGACTTAAGATTAATGGTTCATCTTAAACTGACCTAATCACAAACTAATACATGTAAACTAAGCAAAAGTTTCAATGTCAATAGACCGTGACTGAAGGACCAAATATACTCCATGGAAATGAGATCTGCTAATGATTATACAACTGCATACCAATTATCATTGACTTACCACTAACAGTTCCCCTTAAACTGATCTAACCACAAACTAATACATGAAAACTAAGCAAAAATTTAAAAGTCAATAGACCATGACAGAGGGGGCGTGGCCAAATAATCTCCATAGAAATGTGATAATCCAATGCTTATACAACTGTATACAAAATATCATTGACCTACCACTAGTGGTTCACCAGAAAATGACTTTATCACAAACTAATACATGAAAACTAAGCAAAAATGTCAAAGTCAATAGACCATGACAGAAGGGGTGTGGCCAAATCATCTCCATGGAAATGAGATATGCCAATGCTTATACAACTGCATATCAAATATCACTGACCTATAACTAGTGCTTCCGCAGAATCTGACCTAATCACAAACTAATACATGTAAACTAAGCAAAGTTTCAAAGTCAATAAACCATGACTGAGGGGGCAGGCCAAATAATCTCCATAGTAATGAGATGTGCCAATGCTTATACAACTGCATACCAAATATCATTGACCGACCACTAGTGGTTCACCATATACTAGACCTAATCACAAACTAATACATTGTTGACGCCGCCGCCACCGCTGGAAACAGCATACCTATGTCTTGCTTTTTGACTCCGACAAGGCGAGACAATGATCAAAAATGGCGGTTGAAAATTTTCATTCATGAAATATTTCATTCACAGGATTTTTTTCTCTTCAACGGGAGGACTGGAGGAGACCCCTGAAAATGGGATTATTGTACTCCCGTCAGGATGTTCACATGTATGTGTGCAGGTGAGCTAAAAATCTAACATCAAACAATGAACCATTAAAATTAAGTCAAGATCAGATGAACCATGCCAGAAGTTTATGTACACCTTAAGATCATGCCAAACATCAAATATAGTTGACCCTTTGTTGGAAGTATCTGAGAAACAGACCTAACCACCAAAAAACTTGACATTGACTAATGAATCATGAAAATCAGGTCAAGGTCAGATGAAACCCTGTCAGAAAGGCATATATGTTTTACAATCATTCTATACATCAAATATAGTTGCCCTATTGCTTTTAGTATGAGACACTTTCCAAACTTAAAAACAAATCCCTGAAGTAAGGTCAAGGTTCGATGAGCCCTGTCTGAGGGATATGTACACTTTGGAATGATTCTATATGCCATAGTTGGTCTATTACTCATAATAAGTGAGAAAATACATGAGAAAAACATGTTCTTTCAAGTAGTCACTAAAAATAATAAACTGTTGACACAGAGATATGTCTCGCCTGTCGGCATAAAATTCCGAAAAAGACAATCTGATGGACAGCAACATTGCTAATTAATTTAAAATAGCTGGACCATGAACTAGTGGGCAGGGCCTCCAAATGCTCAACAAACTAAGATCTACAGATAGTAATGTAACTTTGAAGAAAATATTGTAAGTAATTCCTATCAAACTAACTTAAGCAAAAATCTTAACATTGGTAATCAATTTAAAGTCACTGCAGGGGCAAGGAGTGGAAATAGTCGTCAAACTGATATGTACTGATAGTAATGCAACTTCATACAAAATATCTTTGATCTATCACAAGTTGTTCAGGACTATCAAACTAACTTAAGCAGAAAACTTAACATTGAAATTGCTTATTAATTGAAAGTTACTGGACCATGACCTAGGGGTCAGGGCCTCAAAATAGTCGTCAAACTGATATGAACTGGTAGTAATGCAACTTTAAAGAAAATATCATTGATCTATCACAAGTTGTTCTTATCAAACTAACTTAAGCAGAAAACTTAACATTGAAAATTGCTAATTAATTCAAAGTCACTGGACCATGACCTATGGGGCAGGGCCTCAAAATAGCTGTCAAACTGTACTGATAGTAATGCAACTTCATACAAAACACATTGATCTAACAAGTAGTTCTTATCAAACTAGCTTAAGCAGAAAACTAAACAATTGTTGACGCCAACGATGACAACATTGTCGGGAAAGCAATACCTATGTCTCGCCTTTCGAGACTTTGTCGAAGGGCGAGACAAAAATGTCGTCAAAGACAATATGTCTGACAAAAATACAAGATATGAAGTATCCAGGTCTTCTACCCTCTGAAATGTAAAGAGCTTTATACAAATAGAAGCTGAATTGAATATGAATGAAATATTTCTTGGGGTCTTTCAGATCAAGGCCTTACTAAAGGTTTAAACTCAATTATCCCGGAAAATGAGGACAATGTCAGAAAAATCTGTCAACGGACATGTACACCTTAAACAGGGGCGTAGCTACCTTCTTAATGAAGTGGAGTCACAAACTAAAGGGCGAGGGGACTGGGGGCCGCTTAAGCCCCCCATTAAGTCCAGGGCAAAGCCCTAGTAGGGGGTGAAGCCCCCCCCCCCCCCTCCGGAAGCTCCGCATATATAGCGTTTCAAAACAATAACAACCGTAATAAAACTTGTACATTTTTGTTGTGGTTTTTTGGTCATCTATTTGTTTAACTTCGAATGAAGACTAGACATTACCGTTAGCGTTTTTTATACGCCGTGAGAGCTTTTAAAATCACGGAGATTTGTTCCACATGCTAGTTTTTGGACTGAGCAAAGTAGCTGTATAAAAACAAACAATAAACATAAACACAATACTATATGTGGAGTTTCTGTTAGCATAAACACCATTGGATACCAAATACTTGGTGGACATATTCTCCAAAAGTTTGCTTAACATATGTATTTAGATGTTTAAAACATTTGTGGGTAAACTCTACAAGAGAGAGAAAAAGGAATTTCTAATTTTACACAGTTAGCATGGTTAGGAATTCTCGAAGTTGAAATTAATGAACTTTTTCAGAGGGAATGGTACTTTATATTGACCACCATCTTTTTCATGGTCTGAGTTTGTTAATTAACAGGCAATATCTAGATGGTAACAGTGAAGATACGTGTATTAAAAGTTTGGTGTATCTTCCGAACAAAAATCAACAGTTTAGTGTCAGACTCGGACAGAGAATTCATTATAAAATTGAATGACCAAATAGTCCAGTAAAGCGAGTTAGAATTAACAATTTATTTAAATGCTTTTACAATCAACCATTCGTATTACCGGCCATATAGACACCGACATATGTCGAATTACGAATCTATATACAAGATGCTTCTTTTGTAAAATAAATAAAAACGTAATACATGTACTTGAAAATGTGTACTTTTTTATAACAGCAGTTCCAACTTCTCATCTACTAGTATACGGAAACTATTGATTGATTGAATGGTTATTAATGTCCGGTAACAAATATTACATGCACACCAGGACGAGAATCCGTTGACGTGATGTGAAAATTAACTATTCGTGTCGTCAAGACCAACATACTTAGTAAATTTTGAACTAGTTCACAAGGTAACAGTCATTATTCCCGGATCGAAACTGAAGAGTCTTCGTTCTAGTAAGATGTGTGCTTTGGGGCGAAGCAGAAAATAATAATGTTCAAGGTTTTTTTGTTAACTCTAAAAGGATAATGCTTTTTTTTTGCCCTCAAGGCGAGTATATACGTTATGGTGGTGGTACCGACAACTATGTAGCTGGTATTTTCTAAACAATGCCCGTAATATAAAAAGTTCCGCTAAGTTTACACCAGTTGTATGTATACAAGTATTACAGGATTAAAAATTTCGCTGCATGTGTATTCCTCTGGCTTTTATTCTTTGGGTAGTTTTTAAAATGCTTACATAGAAAGACCAATTCCTATAGGTTAACTTTGTCCCTCTCTCTCTCTATCTCTCTTTCTGTTTTTTTTTTTGTTTTTTTTTTTGTGTGAAAACGACAAGGATGTACGTGCTGTCGTGCCTCCGGGTAGCTACGCCCCTGTTAAAAATATTCTTTATATCAAATACAATTCACTTATTAATAAGTATCTGAGAAACAGACCTAATCACAAAAATTTATCATTGCCCATGACATGATATCAAGGTCAGGTGAACCCTGTCTGAAGGTCACGTTTACATTGCAATGATTATATATATCAAATATCGTTGTCTTAATTCGTGAAAATAAGTACAAATACAGTATAGAGCTTTATAAATTTTTCCTCCATCTCCACCAGATAAACATCCTGCAAGACAAAAATTAGTACACAGCCAAAATGACTTCTATCATAGTAGTACCTGACAACCATCATTCTTCCAAGCTTCCTTTTCTTCATTCCAATACAAGCAGGCTACACTGTAACTCTCCACAGTTAAATTAACAAGAAGTTTTGTATTTTTTTCACATTCTATTCCAGACTCACAAATTGTATTATAGTTATTGGTGAGATCATATTTAGTAAATGAAACATCCGATGAACTTTGTAATACTGGAGAAATATATGTATAGTAAAGGTCATCACTAAACACAGATGTGCTTATAAATGTAAAATTGTTTCCTTCATTCAGCAGAGTCCCATTTGTAAAATTCAATTTTGTCTGATCGCCCTGTTGTTTATGTAGAATTTGGAATTGGAATTCCAGCTGTTGACTTCTGACAGACATAACAATAGAATGTCCTTCCTTCAGATTTGTACTCATTCTTAACATGGATATCTTGATTGCATCGACTCGGAAAGTATTGTTTACAAACTTCAGCGGAATTTCCAAGGTGAAATGTGTATTTTCTGTCACAGCTAAAAAAATATATAATAAATTTAAATTCACTGACAGTGCAGGAATTTGAATCTCTTGTATATGTTATGATAATTAATTTGTAATTGAATTAATTATCTGTGAATCAGAATTGGGTGATATAGGCTTGAACTGCTTCCTGTGAAACACTTATTACAATGGGTTTGTGATGTTTTTTAACCATTTTGGCACAGGCAAAATAGAAAATATGCTATTTTGCCGACTCTAGGTAAGCGGTAGTCAATTTCTCCATTAAAAACGGATTTTGTTTACTGTGACTTGATTGGAAGTATTGCTCTCCACCTGTTTCAACTTATTCAAAATTCTGACCAAATTGCAATTTGTTTTCTAAAACCAAACTGTTCAACTGGTCAGAAATTCGAACATAGAAACCACAGTCAAGTCGTGAAAGTGCAAGGTGATAAAATAAAGCATACTTACAATCACTAACAGTCAAGTCACAGTAATAATATGCAATTCAAAGAACTGACTATTATTTCAAAAGCAAATTTGATTTAAAATTTTTTATCAATAAGCATCATCTGTTATTTTGAAGCTATGTGATTGATTTTGTTAGATTGTATAATGTTTTATGAAATTTATATGCAGAGACTTTTGACTTTTATTTTTTTTACAACATACAGTTAAAATTCTGAGATTTTATTCTTATGTATACATGTGTACATATTATATAATGTACATGTAGCATTAGACTATGACTGATTTTAAAAGTAATTTCAACTACATGTTTTGATTTGATTTCATTGCTACAAATGGATGCTCAATATTTTTTTTTTATTTTTATTTACTTTTACAAGTTCTAATTTTCACTTGGACTCATAAATCACAGTTTTTAAACAATTATATGCATGTTAAATATTGTTACTGTTATCTAATTTAATTATATGAGTAATAATTTGATTCTTTTGTGTTGACAATGCACATTTTGCTAGTACTTTTCAAAAGTTAATATTAAAATTCACTCTTTACAAAGAACCGGCAAAATAGCAATTATATAGATTAGACCGTTGGTTTTCCCGTTTGAATGGTTTTACACTAGTAATTTTTGGGGCCCTTTATAGCTTACTGTTCGATGTGAGCCAAGGCTCCCTGTTGAAGATCGTACTTTGACCTATAATAGTTTACTTTTTTAAATTTTGACTTGGATGAAGAGTTGTCTCATTGGCACTCATACCACATCTTCTTATATCTGTTTCTTTAGAAATATGCTATTTTAACCGGCTTTAATTAAGATATTTTAATCGGAGCCGGCAAAATAGCCACTGCCAATTTTTAATCCTAATTTTTTTTGAACTGGTTCTTCACAGCTATGGGTACCAAGGTTTGTTTATTTTTACTTGGACTTAAACCAGTAAATGTCATCTATGTTTCAAATGGTTGTTTATCTTATCGGGATTGCTGATTTGTATTTAAAATAATTCCAACCAAACTGATATGGTTATGATGGGTTTTTTAATCTTACCTTGATTACTGATTTGTATTTCAATTGGTTCCTGTAAATCAGTAACTGTTACCACTTTTTTATCACTGGTCTTCATTTTAAGGGAGACAACAGGTGTTGTGACATCATGAGATGATTGGTCCCAAACATAGGGATTTTTATCAATAAGCATCATCTGTTATCATACAGAAAAATATATTTACACATAAAGCAACATTTCTATCATTTGTGCTCAGTTAATTGTTGAATCAAATTTTAATGTCTTGTTCTCCAGTTCTAAAATTGACAATTTAATTTTAATCTTATTGACAAAGAATATCAGCATGTATAACATTATTTATGTAATCAAATTCTTAATCAAATATATAGTACCAAAAAGACCAACTGTTTGTTGGCACCACTCTATTGTACAATGGTTATATCAGGTGAATATACTAAAAGAGAAATGAGGTATCCTAACAAGAAAAAAAAAAAGCATGTTAAGGGGAGTGATTAGTTGCTGAAAAGATTTTGAAGAAATCCTTATAAAAACATTAGGGTCCAAGCTCAAAATTAGGATCAGTCAGAAAACATACATATTTATTTTTTGGCTTAAGCCATATGCGCGGATTTGCATTACTGCACGAAAAAAAATTGTTACATTTGCATGAGAAATATCATTACATTTGCACGGATTTAAAAATAGTAATTTACAGGTAAATATGACTTTTACAACTTGTAATACAAAGCTTCATGACTAGTTATGATCTGTACCACATAAAGGTGGCAGAATGTTCATTAGTGTTAAGTTTTGCCTAACACGATTTTACCATTCACCTCCATGAAATGTCTTCTAACGTTTTGTCATTTCAGTAAGTAAATCCATCATACAGAAAGGACTTGTTCCCTTTAATTGATGGTGATAGTTCTGGTTCCACTCTAAACATCCTTAACGTCCAAATGACACCAACAAATTGAATGGATATTTGCTCAGTAAAATATATAATACATTTCAACAGTGAGTTGGATTTACTAACATGGTAAATATACAGGTAATTCTATAGGTAATTAAATGTAGACCAATTTAAAAATGGAGCCCAATATCCAAAATAGTAATACAAGGTTAGAACCCCCAAAAATTAAAGTCTTTAAATTAATCTCATTGAAATTGGTTAAAAGATTTAGATATAAGAAGATGTGGTATGAGTGCCAATGAGACAACCCTCTATCCAAGTCAAAATTTATAAAAGTAAACCATTATAGGTCAAAGTACGGTCTTCAACAGGGAGCCTTGGCTCACACCGAACAGCAAGCTATAAAGAGACCCAAAAATTACTAGTTGTATTTATTTTCAATTGAAGATTTCTTGCTATTGCTCAATACTGTGCTATTGCGCAATACTGTGCTGTTGCACAATACATAGTTAAACTGTTATATATATATAGATTCTTACATTGATACCAGTGGTTTATCGGATTTATCCAATCGAGATAGTTAAATTATCAATTTTAAAGTCTGAGCCTTGTAAATTTATAATTTAACTATCGAGATTGGATAAATCCGATAATTCACGAGTAACTATGTAAGAATCTGTTTCTCTAATGATTAAAAAATACATTTTCATTTTTTGTTAAACCAAAATCCCCTTCGAGTGCCTTCCACATTTCACAAAGTTGTCAATTTCATTAACACCTGTTAGCATATTTTGAACTGATAAAGGTTATGACCCTTAAATTCATCCGATCATCTTCTGAGATCACCAGCAACCACACGTTGATTAAATTTTTTTATACAATGAGTACAGAAAGGTATAAATTGTCAAAGAATTAGAGAAAATAATTTACACACCCTGTTTTGTGTGCATCTCCTGCCATATCATTATTTGTTGCTTTTATATATAAATCAGAAATAATCAATGTAAAAATGGAAAATTTTTTTGGGGAAAAAAAAAAAAATTGACAAAAAAAATCCCCCCCCAAAAAAAAATTGACCCCCCCAAATAAATTTGGAAAAAAAAATCCCCCCCAATTTTTTTTTGAAATTTTGAAGATTTATCCATTCAGGAAAAATGTACAATTTCAGAGAGTTCCATTAAACTTTAACACAAGTTATTGTCTGAAAACTAGAAAAATGCCTGTTTTTGGCCCCTTTATTTCCCCTAATTTCTTAACGTTTGGGGCAATTACCCCCAAACTCAATCCTAGCCTTCCATTTGTGGTATAGAACCTTGTAGTATAATTTCAAAGAGATCCATACACTTAAACATAAGTTATTGTCTGGAAACTAGAAAAATGCTTGTTTTTAGCCCCTATATAATTCCTAAACGTTTTACCCGCAAACTCAATCCCAGCCTTCCCTTTGTGATATGGAACATTGTGGTACAATCTCAGAGAGATCCATACACTTACACACAAGTTATTGTCTGGAAACTACAGAAATGCTTGTTTTTGGCCCCTTATTCATAAACTGTTGGTACCATAACCCCTAAAATCAATCTCAACCTTCCTTTTGTGGTATTGAACCTTCTGGTAAAATTTCAAAGAGATCCATTCACTTAAACTAAAGTTATTGTCTTGAAACCAAATGTGTCTTCGGACGATGAGGACAACATAATAGCATTATACGAACGCAAATCTTTTGTGGTCGTATAAAATCACACAAATGTAAAAAAAAAAATTGCGCAAATGTAATGTCCTTTAATCCCCAAATCCGTGCAAATTTACTACACCCATTAATAAGTTGAATTTGATAATTATTACCTGGATCCGTTTAATACTTTAGACAACTTTTAATTCTATTGTCCTTTTACCTGTAGACTAATGTCACCTTGCAGACTGTTTAAGAGACCACTGAAATGAGAATCACTAGGTAGTAGGAATTGTCCTGTAGTTTTCTTGCTACTAGATGACCTAGAGTTGGCAAGATTCTGACCTAAAGTGTTGGCAGGTGACTTTTTCATCACAGCAATATTCATATTACTGGTAACAAACACAATAGGTTCTGCAGCAGGCTGGGCAATAGCAAGGGCAGCATCTGCTATAAAATCTACCAATGTTAAAATCTTTTTACCAGATTTTTTTACCTGAAAAAATTAAATAGGAAGTAATTTAAATACCTGTTTCTGCCCTCAAGTCTAGAATCTTGTCAGTTGTCTGTGTCTACCCCCAAGTCTAGAATCTTGTCAGTGGTCTGTGTCTACCCCCAAGTCTGGAATCTTGTCAGTGATCTGTGTCTACCCCCAAGTCAGGAATCTTGTTGGTGGTCTTTGTCTGCCCCAAAGTAGGGAATCTCGTCAGTGGTGTGTGTCTGCCCCCAAGTCGGGAATTTCTTGTCAGTGGTTGTCTGTTTTTATATTTTTGTTGGTGAGGATTCTGTAATCAAGCTGAAGGAATATGCCAGACAAGTTAATTTACACCAGCCATGTAACTTGTAAATCTCAGGCTATTATTCACCCCAAATGGTGACTGGGGAATAGAAATATGGCCACCTCTGACCGGCAGTAAAACCCTTGCCAAAGTGGGGCGTTCATTTGGCTGTGCGGGATGTATAAGTTTGCAGCCACGTCCGGTCAGAATAGGGATGTTAAATCTGATGCCTTGTATAAAGAGAATGCCAGTCTTTGCACCTTAAGAAGCCTTGCAACAACTCTTTGAGTGGTCTGTATGTGGCCTGTTGCAAGGCTAAATTTCTGTCCCTATCAAATATACCCTCATTTTCCTGTGGCAGTCCAAATTTCCCAACCCTTTCAACCCGGACGGCCTCTATTACAGGACCTACCTTTTGTAATTATTGTTAATTTGTTCTCGTCCTGAACATGCATGAAATATTTGACACTGAACATTTAGCAACCAACAATCAATCAATCTAGCAATAAATGGCCTTTCAGATACATTTTTTTGTTCGTTTCTAGCTGTGCATGGATTCTGTCATCATTATTTGATATAAGGTTGAGATACTTTCACTTTAAGGCAGAGGCATATATTTGAAATGCTATAAACAGTGGATGTCTCATATTACAATGATAAATTCTTTATTAACATCATTTGGTAATAGTTTGTTTTTTAGTATCTAGATAAAACGATCTTGATGGAACTGATGTTGATGCCTTGTTTAATGGAGTCTCTGTTTTATCTACTTACTCTTGTGTGATGATCTCCATGTTGTTTCAGAATCATATTTGTACTGGTCCTGTAGCTAGAACATTTTATATGCATTCTTTAGTTTTACCAGGAAAATTATTGATGCACAGAGTTTTAGTCAAAAAAATACTTCATGTCAAATTTATTGGTTAAAAATATGAAGGAGATATTTACTGGATCCCATGGCAAATACTCTGTTACCCTTCATGGAGACGCTTACTCCAGTATGCCCTTGATTAAATAAGGATGTTTTTTTTATGTACAAGACGTCATAGTTTATTGCTTTGAATTTGAAATTTAAAAGACAGCAAGAACAGAACATTCAGTATACCGTAATAAATTAAATGATACATATCTGAGAGGGTGATATAGCAGATTGTTACCCCCGGAAAAGAGGGCTTTGCCTCAGTTGACAATGTTTTCCTCGGGTAACAATCTGCTTTATCACCCTCTCAGCTATGTGTTATGTATATATTGTTTGAGAACATTTGCTTCCATCAGTGGATATACAGTATACAATGTGTATTCCTCTTTCATAAATCAAATTAGTCAGACTGTTGCAAATAAGACTAACCAATTCCTTTCTTCCCAACACTTACACTTTTGGGGAAACAGTATTGAAGTGGATGTGATAAAATTCAGAAAATTTAGTTAACTTTTTATATGAAACGTCTTTTTTTTTTTTAGTTGCATAGTAAATCATGGGTTGGGCGATATCAGCAAACAAATAGGCCTTGTAATGGAAGCTATCAAGTTAGGCCAATACAAGTTAAAATCTTTAAAAAAAGTAATTTTATCAGTGGTATATTATGTTGCAAAGGTCAGTGATGTTCGACCAGATTTTACCTTTGACACTTTTGTAGTATTAACATGTGTATGATTTGTAGTGATCTCCATTTCTTCTGTACCTTTATTCGTATTTGCATCCAACATGAATGACAACCCATCCAATAATAGGCTGAAATCATACAAAATACACCAATATAAAGTAAACTGGACATCAACATTTATGTGTACATTATATATAAAGTAAACTGGACTTTCATCAACATTTATGTGTACATTATATATAAAGTAAACTGGACTTTCATCAACATTTATGTGTACATTATATATAAAGTAAACTGGACTTTCATCAACATTTATGTGTACATTATTTGGGTTTCATCATCACAAAACTATTTGAGAAACACATGAAAATTTGCCTATTCAAACTAGAGCTGTCCACATAGCTGGACTAATACCCTGTACATGCATTTTAGTTGCTGCTGTGAAATTCAGTAATGAGGCTGCTGTGAAATTCAGTGATGAAACAATAACATTTTGAGTTCTTTGGCTTCCAGCCATTCATTTTATATAATCATTGCCTCTACGTTAGGTTGACACATGATTACTGACATCTCAACCTGACAGAATTATACTAACTCAGGAACTTTTGTCAATCTAAGTAGAAAGGTACAAAAGTTATGCACTGAAAACAAATTAGACAATGTTTTACTATCATAGGGGTGGAAGGTCACTTTAATAGGGGTCAAATGTTAAAGTCAAGGTCAGAGTGACCTGGCTTTGGTATAAGACACCCAACCCCCAGCCCATGATGCATCTGCATACCAAGTTAAAGCAACTTAAGTTCAATAGTACTAACGTCATGAGCTGGACACAAAACTGGACAGAAACAGATAAGCAAGTGATTCCTAAATACCCCTCCCTCCCACAAGCTTTGTAGGGATATAATAATAATAAGAATACATGAACTTAATTATTTTCATGATTTCTGAAGCTGTCATTTTTTTTAATTATGAAAAAATGTAACAGAAGAAACATCTCAATAAATAAAATTAAACATTTTAATTTTTGTTAATAATATTCTCCACAACAGATATAGATATTACACTATTTATAATCATGCTGTTGAGTTGGTTGCTGAAGATTACCAGCATTGTATGCAGTCATTACAATTTTCAATTAAGTAGTAATTAAAGTATAGAATACTAAAAGAGGGACGAAAGATACCAGAGGGACAGTCAAACTCATAGATCGAAAACAAACCGACAACGTCATGGCCAAAAATAAAAAGACAAACAGACAAATAATAGTACAGATGACACAACATAGAAAACTAAAGACTAAGCAACACGAACCCCACCAAAAACTGGGGGTGATCTCAGGTGCTCCGGAAGGGTAAGCAGATCCTGCTCCACATGTGGCACCCGTCGAGTTGCTTATGTTATTACAAATCCGGTAAATAGTCTAATTCGGTAAGTCACATTCGTGAAAAGGGAAGGGTATTGTAGTTACGACATAAGGAACATATCTGATATCATCTGTGAAACGGTTATTCCATAACGGTCAACCAACTCGTGATGGCGTCCGTAAAATTTACGAAGGGATGACTTCAACTTCACCATTTGGAACTCTTGGTTTAATAGCTTCCTTGTGAGCAGCAATCCTCTATCAAGGAAATCATGATAGGAAACACAAGCCTGGGAATATCGTATCAATTGGGAGATATATACTCCGTATGCAGGCGCTGCTGGAATGTTGCTACATAGAAATGGAAAGTTCACAAATGGGAAGCTGAAATCATCTCTTTTGTCGTAAAGTTTTGTTTTCAACCGACCCTCATTGTCAATTTCTAGATGTAAGTCAAGATATGAGGCAGATTTAACTGTATCTGTAGTATCCTTTATCTCGAGTTCGAAGGGATAGATTCGTTCAACATAGTCACCAAGTTTTGTATTATTTAGTGAGAGAACATCATCTATATAGCGGAACGTAGAGTTAAAGGATATTGCTAACTTCTTATCTCTCTTCCTAAGAAGCTCCTGTATGAATAATAATAAAGAAACAAGTCGGCAAGAAGAGGGGCACAATTGTTTCCCATTGGAATTCCGACAGTCTGTTGAAAAACACGTCCTCCAAACGTAACAAATATGTTGTCAATCAAGAAATCAAGCATCTTGATAATGTCAGTTTCAGAGAATTTTTTGTTTGAATCAGAGTGATTCTTTACAAAGTAGGATTTATCCCTCCCCAAGACAAGATACTTGTATCTACGCTCGCCATTCTTTTTAATGAAACAAAGTAATACCAACTCTTTCAATTTGTCTTTTAGTTTGGAATGGGGAATACTTGTGTAAAGTGTAGAAAAGTCAAATGTTTTAATACTATTGCAAGATGAGAGAGTCTTAGATTGTATGTACTCTAAAAGATCTTTGGAATTTTTTAGTATCGAAATCTGATTCACGCCACCTCTAGAATAGGCAGTTTCACAATAACTTTGGAGCCCGGCTTTGATTGCTGATAAAATAGATGTTAATAATTTAGAAAGAGGTTTCGTGGAGCACTTGGAAGACCCAGCAATATACCGTTGTTTGTAAGGACACTTATGTAGTTTAGGTATCCAATACAGTGATGGAAGATCCAATTCTTCGTCTTTGGTTGAAATTCCAAAGGAACATAGAACAGACCTATGATTATCTAGGATTTCCTCTTTGGTAAGTGTCGTGAGGGTATATGTTGAGTTTCCAAGTGAATTGTCAATACCTAATTCATTTATCAAGCAGTTTATGTAATGATATTTACACACAAAAACGATGTTGTTTGGGGCTTTATCTGCGGGGACAACAACATATTTGTCATGGAGGTAGGACAAGTGTTTTGCAACATTTGGGTCTTTAAAAATTGATGTAGCGTGGGTATTGATATGCCCATTTAGTTTCTTAATTCGGATTTGTATCAACGACCTCACAGCCTTAATCCATTCGGAAAGAGTATCTACGTCTTCTTTCTCGCGTTTAGCCCATTGCCTGGCATAATCCTCGACTGAATCCATCAGTATTTTGAAGTTGTATTTCCAATTGATGGATATTTCGGACCTTTGGATAACAAATTTCGCAGGGAAGTGTTATCGACAATGTTGAGGTCTCCGGTAATAACGTGGCCAGCCGGATTATATGTAAATTTTATCTAATGGATCTATTTGGCAAATCACTTCCTTTAATAAGATGTCAACAGTAAGGATGATGTAGTCAAAATCAATCTTCCAAACTTGATTTGTAACTCTTTAAAATATGAAAACACCCATCATATCAAATCAAACAATAGAAGCATTACAGCAATAATTTAGAATATAATTCATGACCAAAATATCTTTTTTGTTGACCTCTTATTGCTCACCATTTTTCTTGTTTATAATTTCTCATTTTCTACTATGGATTTGCCCAAAATGCATAAATATGGACAAAAATTCGTAAGGGTTCCGCGGAACCCAGTGTCTTGCCTACTTTTTCTGTTAATCGCAGGCTCAACAAAAATGAGGTAGTTAATCAATAAAAATATTCCTCTTGATACTATCTTTTGATTGTAAGAAGCTTCTGTCCAAGTTTGGTAAAAATCCAGGATAGTTTATGAATCTAATAAATGTTTAAAAACTTTAACTGCAGACTGAATGTAATGTTAACTGGAAGAAAACAAAATTTCCTTCTAGATACTAGCATTTGATCATAAACAAGCTTCTGTCCAAGTTTGGTACAAATCCAAAATAGTATAAGAAAGTTATTAAAATTTTAAAAACTTTAACCACAGAGTGAATGTGTTGTTTCCTGGCAGAAAATCTAAGTCCATTTAAAAGTAAAAAATGGAAAAAATGGATTTATTTTTTTTACAAAATTTCCTACTAGATACTAGCTTTTGATCATAAACAAGCTTCTGTCCAAGTTTGGTACAAATCCAAAATAGTATAAGAAAGTTATTAAAATTTTAAAAACTTTAACCACAGAGTGAATGTGTTGTTTCCTGGCAGAAAATCTAAGTCCATTTAAAAGTAAAATAAGGAAAAAATGGATTTATTTTTTTACAAAATTTACTTCTGGATACTATCTTATGATCATAAACAAGCTTCTGTCCAAGTTTGGTACAAACCCAGGATAGTTTAAGAAAGTTATTAAAATTTTAAAAACTTTAACCACAGAGTGAATGTAATATTTCCCGGCAGAAAAACTAAGTCCATTTATAAGTAAAATACGGAAAAAATGGAATTTTATTTTTACAAAATTTACTTCTGGATACTATCTTATGATCATAAACAAGCTTCTGTCCAAGTTTGGTAGAAATCAAGTATAGTTTAAGAAAGTTATTAAAATTTCAAAAACTTTAACCACAGAGTGAATATTTGTGGACGCCGCCGACGACGACGCTGCCGACGGAATGTAGGATCGCTATATCTCGCTTTTTCGACTAAAGTCGAAGGCTCGACAAAAATGATCAATCAAGGGCAATAATTCCTTAAGGAGTCAAAAGATGGTTGGTCATACTGGCATTTTTGTAGATATTGTATGGCTGTCTATCTAGTACATTTTTAGAGATAATTGGCAAAAACATAAAAATTAAACAAATCGTCATCCATATTTGCTTCTTGTACTACTGATTATGTTTGCTATTTATAGTTTCTAACCATCTACTACAGTTTTTGAGATAATAGGCAAAAACATGAGAATAAGCAAAAAATAGGCATTTAAGGTCAAGGAACAGTTAATGGGATATGTCAAAGAGTTGGTAAAATTTTGCATAAAACTTTGGCTTGTTGAACTATAACTGAAAATAGAAATTATAATGCATTTATCTCTTTTATTTACTGAAATATGACTAATTGAATCCTTACAAAATATTTGAACATTTGTATAGAAAGCACATAAAAAACATTCTTAAATTTGTCTTAAAATCATCAAATCTCCATAGATTTTTCATAAAAACTATATAATGTTGATACATAAATTTCTGTTTTAATAGTAAATGTATAACATGATCAAATGGTCACTGACTTTGTTTTTGGTGTATTAACCAATCTGTTAATTACTTAGTTGGTAGTAAAAAATGTCAAAAAATCGACATTTTATAGCATTCAATGCGATGACATTATGCTTATTTTGACGTTTAGTGGTATTTTTTCACCTAGAACATCACTTTGAATGATAGATACCGTTAAACAAAGTCGGTGACCCTATTATTCTTTTACATCATTAAAACTGAAATTTATGTACCAACAATATATATATTTTTTAGCTTAAGTTCAAAAAGTCAAAGTTGTATGCAAATATTAACAAAATCTGTGATAAAGCCCATTTACTGTAACTTGACCTTAAGGGCAATACTCTTCAAAAAGTCATCTGATAACTTTGGTGAAAATAGAAAGCATGTAGATCTTGACATTCTGAGCATTTTTGCCCATGTCATTTGTTCTAATATGGTATTCAAGATATAAGATAATTAATAATTTTTCGCCATTATGTGTGGTTGAAATTGGTTCAGAAGTTTCAGATGAGATTGCCTTTGAAAAGTTATTTTAGATGTCAGATGCTTAGTGATAGCAAAAGCTCATAAGTCCTTTTAGGACAGGGGATAAAATGAACCTTAGGCTATTGTCTTGTTTCATTCATTAAGATTTTGTCTGAAGTGGGTAAGGACAGGGGAGAAATTGAACCTTAGGCTATTGTCTTGTTTCATTCATTAAAGTCTCACCCAACAGATTCTTTTCCTTTATTTGTAGCTGTGCTGTTAATCTGATTGGATAACACACCTGTCAAACTGGAGTACATATCTAAAGCTGTATCCTAAAAGGAAGACAAAATAAATCTAATCCACAGACACAGGAAAGATTTTCAATTAAGTCTTATTTAAAAAAAAAACAAAAAAAAAACAACAAGTCTCACCTTTTCTAACATATTCAGTTAAAGTGGTTGCAAAAAGGCATGATAAAAAAAGAAGTTCCAACAAAAAAGAAATTTGATGTTCACAAACAGTTTTTTTTTTAAAAGGTAATGTTCTAGGTCGCAAAGGATCCATTTACCAACTGCCATAAAATTCCATATCTACACTAGATATGACAATAATTAAAACTGATCTAGAGAGATGTTATGAATCTATGTATCAGTTGCCCCACCATCTGTATCATCTTGCTCAGTTCTTTGTAAAATCCCATATCGTAGCATTTTGACATCGCAGATTTTGTCTAGCTGATCACTTTTCTTTGTTCAAACTGCAACAATGCTATTTACGTTTTGAAATTGTATTGACTGTATATTCATTGTGATATAGTCAGTGACATTAAAATGCCTTGTGAAATTGATTGTGTGTTTCCATAAAGTTTTATCTATTGGAAGAAATTCAAAATTGATAGTTTTTACCCAAAGTATTTTATTTTGAACAGTTTTAAGAGTTGCAGCATAACATAACAACTAGATATCATTGAGATGGGAGCCATCTCTGTGGGCCCCGCTGTGAATAATGTCATGAACAACTAGATATCATTGAGATGGGAGCCATTTCTGTGGGCCCAGCTGTGAATAATGTCATGAACAACTAGATATCATTGAGATGGCAGCCATCTCTGTGGGCCCCGCTGTGAATAATGTGTGGTAAAAAATTTGTATCTTTATCATTGGACATGGGGTTGTCAACTGAAACCGAAGTTTATGACCTTGACCTTTGACCTAGGAAGTTGTACATAAATTATGACACACCCTCTGGTGTTGGTTAATATACATGTCAAGTATAAACTTTGAAATCATAATGGTTCTCAAGATACAGAGAGGACACGATCTTTACCATAGGACATGGGGTTGTCAACTAAAACCAAAGTTTTTGACCTTGACCTTTGACCTAGGAAGTTGTACATACATTATGACACACCCTCTGGTGTTGGTTAATATACATGTCAAGTATAAACTTTGAAATCATAACGGTTTTCTAGATATAGAGCAGACACAATTTGTTAAGGACGGACGGACGGACGAACGAACGGACGGACGGATGGACAGACAGACTGATCACTATAGGGCGTCTGCCATTCGCCAGGGCCCTAATTATATATTGTCTAGCATTTTATCTGTTTCTTAACCTTGTACAATTATTTATTTTTATGTATAGACATATTTTATATATAAAGTTTCTCTCTACCCATAATAGCTTACAAGATTATAGCCAACAACTAAAAATGGATAAACATTGTCATTTAAGGGCAATAACTCATATAAGTAGGCTTCTGATAATTTTTGTTACTTTAACATATTTGAAGATCTGATTTTGCAAACATTTTTGCTTTTCAATATTCTCGCTTGTTATATTTTCCAGAAAAAGATGGGTAAAATTTTTCAATGAAGGGCAATTTCTCCAATAAGGAATTGACTAATGATTTTGGCAATGTTTCATGCCTAAACTAGATAAAATAATATTCATTTGTAGATCTTTTCTTGCTGATCAATTTTGTGATTTTCAAATACACCACCACAACTGTCAACTTTGAAATAAGATATTCATATAAAAACAAGAGTTGTATGCTGAAATATCTCACCTGCTTTACTGATTATGATATAATGTGATGTTAATACTACAGCAATAATGGAGCAAGTTCGGTAAGATAAATGGCCCGATTATCAAGTTCAATGTTTCAGGATAAAAAAAATGTTTTAAGCTGATGAAAAGACATGTGAGGACGTTAAATAGAACTATTCGTGTCATTTATTTTGGAGCGTTTTTACATCCCAAATAGGTCAAAAAAGAGATTTTTGTGAATTTTGACAAAATGGTACTGATTTCAACCAAATTAAGGCCTAGGAAACATAGAGCTCAGGCATCAACAAACTAAATATTTAAGTCATAAAAAAGATTATGTGAAAAGGATTTTCTTTGTCAGCGGCTGCGCTATGTTTCCTGTCCAAGGAATAAATAGAAATTTACACGTTTTAATGGAAATTTGTGGAAAATCAAAATGAGTGCTATTTGTGAAGTCATGAATAGAACGCAAGTACTTAAATTTTCAAAAAAAAGACACATTTTCTATCTAGTCATTGTATTAGCTATGATTCATTGTTATATTGGTCAATTAATCCTAATTTTAAATTTTAGTTAGAAATAGGGGCGGCTATTTTAGGCCTTATCAAACCTACTCCTTTAACATTATCAACGATCCATGAAAATATGGTCAAGACTCACATACTGTGACAAAAGTCACAATATTTGTCAAAAATTCGTAAGGGTTCCGCGGAACCCAGTGTCTCGCCTACTTTTGCTGTTAATCGCAAGCTCAACAAAAATGAGAAAAAAAAATCAATAAAAATATTCCTTTAGATACTATCTTTTGATTGTAAGAAGCTTCTGTCAAAGTTTGGTATAAATCCAGGATAGTTTACGAATCTAATAAATATTTTAAAAACTTTAACTGCAGACTGTATCTAATGTTTACTGGAAGAAAAACTAAGTCCATTTATAAGTAAAATACGGAAAAATTGAAATTTTTTTTTGAACAAATTTACTTCTGGATACTATCTTATGATCATAAACAAGCTTCTGTCCAAGTTTGGTACAAATCCAGGATAGTTTAAGAAAGTAATTAAAATTTTAAAAACTTTAACCACAGAGTGAATGTAATGTTTCCCGGCAGAAAAACTAAGTCCATTCACAAGTAAAATACGGAAAAACAGGAATTTTATTTTTACAAAATTTACTTCTGGATACTATTTTATGATCATAAACAAGCTTCTGTCCAAGTTTGGTAGAAATCCAGGATAGTTTAAGAAAGTTATTAAAATTTCAAAAACTTTAACCACAGAATGAATATTTGTGGACGGCGCCGACGACGACATCGAAGGAATGTAGGATCGCTATGTCTCGCTTTTTCGACTAAAGTCGAAGGCTCGACAAAAAATCTGAAAGCTGGACTGGAAGCCGTTGGAAGAGCCTATATAGGTATACCTGAGTATAATCTGTCAATTCATCAGATATTGATGTAGCTGAATTCAACACTCCTGCCACTAGATCTAGATCATCTAAACTTGTAACTGACACTTTCGTTAAACTGGAGACAATTACTTCTCTAATCTAAAACAAAATACCAGATTTTTACATATTCAAGGATATGTTTCTTATTTTTTGCATTTTCTTTCACAATACTGAACAATAAACATGCAAGGATTATGCCAGTCTTTGGGCATAGCTGTAAACTGCTTATGGCTAATTCTACCTTCAAGGCTTGACTTTTGTTAAAGTTGGTAACATATTTTAAAAAGAGGGAAATAATAAGGAAATAAAAACAAAATTATGAATGATAAACTTACCATGGCCAAGATCAATATCATGTAGGGATGTGTACAACTTTCACTGTGCTGTTTTGAAGACCAGTATACAGCAATATGATTAAAAAAAAATCTTTAATTTTAAGTGTTCAAGTTTCTTCAATCTTCATAGGTGCAACCAATCAAAATGCATGTATATGATAGTTCCCAAGGGAATCTATCTTAATGCTACTTAGTATTCTTTTCTTTTTATATTAAAAAAAAACAACCATTATGAGGTCTTATAATTGCCAATGTTATATTATGGGAGGGGAGATAAAGCAGAGGTTATAGTTTTGAGTATAATAACATTTTAACAGGTTCTACAAACCCTTCATCTTGAATGTGACGTTGACTGTTACAATGTAATTATAAAAATAAGAAGATGTGGTAAGTCCACACATCAGTAAAATACTAAAATTTGGATAAAAAAATTAGTTTTACTACGGGTACTATCTTTTGATGATGAAAAAAAACTTCTGTCCAAGTTTGTAAAACTCCATGAACATTTGACAAAGCTATACAAGTTCTGAAACATCTACGTCAATTTGAGAGTAAACTATGGAAAAATGAAAAAAAATTAAAAGAATTTAAATTTTACTATAAATGGTGTCTCTTGATTATGAAGAAGCTTCTCTAAAGGTATCCTGAAATTCCATAACAGTTTGATAAATGTTATTGATGATTTAAAAACTTGTACCATATAGACTGTATATTGTTAACTCTCAAGAAATTCAGTCCATTTATATGTGACATACGGAAAAATAAAAATAATAAATAAAAATTTTGATCCACATGTTATCTCTTATCACAAAGAAATTCTGTCCATGTTTCATAGAATTCCATGAAGTTTTGACAAGTTATTGATGTCTAAAAAAAACTTAAATCACAGATTGAACTTAAATGTTGACATCACCTTTAGAATCTTGGATTGCATTGTGGTTTTGCAACTTTTGTCACAGACAAGATAACAAGGTGTTATGTATGTCTACATTTCAAGTATATAACGTTTTACCTGTTTACTTTCTTCGTCATTTGATTTGTTGACATTATCATTCAATGATGACGCAACACCTCCTAAGATGTTTACAGCACCTGTTAGTGAAAAGTATGTTGCTTATCATGTTTTGAACTATTATCTTCCTGAGTTAATTACAACACCTGTAATTGTATGATTTATGGCTCATTAGAATTAAAATAATCATTACATAGATGCCAGCCCCCCTTTGTAGCAATCAGTAAAAAATATTAAGAATTCTGTAATTTGTGATTTTTTTCAGTAATAACATTTTTTTTTTAAATATTTTAATCATCATACTATAAACAACTGGGCACACAGTGACAAATAAAAGACTTTCTTACTTTATCAATGACAAGTATGATTCAAAGTTGACGAGCAAGTGAGGAAAACCGATCATCGCACTGATTGGAAGTCTTGTTCACAAAATATTTGCAAAAGGCATAATGCTCTGGTTTTTTATTTCGTTGTCCAAGTTTTCTTTCCTTACTGCAGAAATTAAATTGTTCCATCAGACATTGTACTTGCCGGGTTCATTAGTTATTTGGAATGGAACAAGAAATGGATAGATTACTTTCTTCTATGGTTAGTCCCGAGAAACAAGTAAGAATAATCCAAATCATGCAAGTGCTTATTGTTACAAAATTATAACCAAAAATTAATGAAGAATGTGTCCATGGGACACAAATGATGCCCCCTCTTGCATATAACGTTATAAAGGGACATTACTCGAAGAACAGTAAAAGCGACGCCACCTAAATTTGAACTTGATTTGAGTTTTGTGGTAATAAGTATAGTGTTTAAGTTTCATAACATTTGGTTGAGGCAAACTTAAGTTGGAGAATGAAAAAGAAAAATTCAACAATTTGTCCATTTGTAAAGGGCATAACTCTAGAACTGTAAAAGTGACACCACCCATATTCAATCTTGATCTGTGTTTTGAGGTAATAAGCATTGTGTACAAGTTTCATAACATTTGGTTGAGATAAACTAAAGTTAGAGAAGGAAAACCAATTTTTGGGACCTACAGACTGACAAGCGTAACACTTAATGCCCCTTCAGCTGCTTCAGAGGCATATTAGAGTGTCATATTGATCAAAATGATATTCAAACAGGGAACTGTTCCAGACAGGTGATGAACATAAATCCGTAAATAGTAGATTGTTAATCGTAACACCGTAATTTTGGTTAATAATTCTTAACCATTACAGATAAATCTTAACAGTTGGCAACTATGGCATTACAACTGGCTACAACATCTCCTTACATACTTACAGCATCTATAATTTGGAGATAGTATTTTGAATTTGATAACTTGCAGGAACCAATTAGCTATTTACTGGCCAGAAGATTGATACAATGGTCAACACTTGTTAGGGCACGAATAAGTACCAACCAAAATGATAAATAAAACTGTATTCAAGGGCTTTATGTTCAGCATCAGTATTAAATCTCTAGGGAGTCTTAAAGACTAATAAAAGTTGACAAAAAATATTTGTGATCTGGATCAATATTTGAGGTGATTGCATCTCACAAGTGCTTTAAACCACATGCCTTTCATACATTTCTTATATTACTCCTTTAAATATTACTTCTTATAGACTGACAATATGTTTCTATTACTTTTTGCCATGAATTTTTAAACCTATGCTTGAAATTTTTTTTAACTAACATACTTAAATAATCTCCATTGTCCATCAGGTTATTATTTTTTTTAAATTAACATACCTGTATAGTCTCCATTGTCCATCAAGTTATTAATAACACTGTCATTAGAATTCACATCACTGCCAATCAGATCTGTAATTACACCAGTTACATCACCACTGGAGTACATTCTCATTGGAAACACCTACAGAGAAAGTCAATAAGATCTGTAATTACATCTGTTACATCACCACTGGAGTACATTTTCATTGGAAACACCTACAAACAAAGCCAATCAGATCTGTAATTACATCTGTTACATTACCACTGGAGTACATTCTCATTGGAAACACCTACAAAGAAAGACAGTCAGATCTGGTATTACATCTGATACTTCACCACTGGAGTACATTCTCATTGGAAACACCTACAAAGAAAGACAGTCAGATCTGTAATTACATCTGATACTTCACCACTCGAGTATATTCTCATTGGAAACACCTACAAACAAAGCCAATCAGATCTGGTATTACATCTGTTACATCACCAATGGAGTACATTCTCATTGGAAACACCTACAAACAAAGCCAATCAGATCTGTAATTACATCTGTTACATCTACACTGGAGTACATTCTCATTGGAAACACCTACAAACAAAGCCAATCAGATCTGTAATTACATCTGTTACATCACCACTCAAGTACATTTTCATTGGAAACACCTACAAACAAAGCCAATCAGATCTGTAATTACATCTGTTACATCACCACTCGAGTACACAAATGTACATTCTCATTGGAAACACCTACAAACAAAGCCAATCAGATCTGGTATTACATCTGTTACATCACCAATGGAGTACATTCTCATTGGAAACACCTACAAACAAAGCCAATCAGATCTGGTATTACATCTGTTACATTACCACTGGAGTACATACTCATTGAAAACACCTACAAACAAAGCCAATCAGATCTGTAATTACATCTGTTACATCACCACTGGAGTACTCATTTGGTGGAAACACCTACAAAGAAAAAGTCAATCAGATCTGTAATTAAACCAGTTACATCACCACTGGAGTACATTCTCATTGGAAACACCTACAAACAAAGCCAATCAGATCTGGTATTACATCTGTTACATCACCACTGGAGTACATTCTCATTGGAATCACCTACAAACAAAGCCAATCAGATCTGGTATTACATCTGTTACATCACCACTGGAGTACATTCTCATTGGAAACACCTACAAACAAAGCCAATCAGATCTGTAATTACACCAGTTACATTACCACTGGAGTACATTCTCATTGGGTGGAAACACCTACAAAGAAAGTCAATCAGATCTGGTATTACATCTGTTACATCACTGCTGGAGTACATACTCATTGGGTGGAAACACCTACAAACAAAGCCAATCAGATCTGTAATTACATCTGTTACATTACCACTGGAGTACATTCTCATTGGAAACACCTACAAACAAAGCCAATCAGATCTGTAATTACATCTGTTACATTACCACTGGAGAACATACTCATTGGGTGGAAACACCTACAAAGAAATTTAATCAGATCTCCTATTACATCTAATACATCTCCACTCAAGTACATACTCATTTGATGGAAACACCTACAAAGAAAGTCAATCAGATCTGTAATTACATCTGTTACATCACCACTGGAATACATACTTATTTGAAATACCTACGAAGAAAGTCAATCAGATCTGTAATTACATTTGTTACATTACCACTGGAGTACATACTCATTGGAAAAACCTACAGCTATTTCGTGATGGCTAGTTTTTCTTGGTGGAGGAGGCCAGGGTGCACAGAAAGAACCACAAACCTAGGTTAGGAAAACTGGAAATCCTAGTCAACTAAGATTAGAGTTAAACACACCTGCGACATGCAGGGTTCCGAACTCACAACCTCGGTGTTGACAGGCTAGTGATGTACAGTAGTTGAACTAATTTGACCACTCAGCAGTTGAAGCCCACATTTTAGTTATGTGTATGGCAAGTATTTAAAGAATAGCATCTGTATTCTGTTTAAATAATATTTCAAATTATTTGAACTAGCAAAGCACAGTTTGAAAATTTGTAACAATAAGTTTTTAGTGTCTAATCCAAACAATTAGGAAACATGTGTAATCTGAATATGAAGATTTTACAACATGCAAAATAGGAAGTTTACCTAAATAAAATTCATCATAAACAAACCTGTCATTAATGATAACCGATAAACTGCTTATATAGACTTTTCCGAAGAGGGTAGATATGTAATGGGGTACTTGAGACAAAATCAAATAAATAATATGAAAACCCAGTCTATCAATGAATATTATTGCTGTTCTTTATCTTGACAGTTCCTGAAAGGCCTTCATTGGAGAATATAAGAGCTCATAATTACATCACATACATGTTTCCTAAGAATCTGTAATTTTGATTGGGAGGCATTCCAAAATTATATTTTGTTTCCCAAAAACGCAACATTCATGACTGCAAATGCTCCCTATGACAATGTTACAGCAGTGCATAGGAACAAACAAATAGTACTGTGATATAAATCATGGCATAAAATATTGAATTATAAGAATTCAGTGCTTGTTTTTGTAGTTTGAAAGAGTTGTGACAGCATTGATAGTGCACACATTTTTAGTACTCAAAATGTTCTATGGTCAATGCTTTTACACCCAAATAACCTGTAAAGTTCATTTTTATCTGCATGAAATTCACATAAAAAGGACACCATCTGCGGGTTTGTCATTCCCCCCCCCCCCCCCCCCCAAAAGGAAAAATGAAAAGGGGAATTTGGGTTAGTTTTTAGCCTAAGAAAATTCAATTCTATAAAACTAATTCAAATTTGCACATAACCTATTGAAATACAAATGATAAAAAACAAATTCAAGATCAAGTATGGCAACTTAAATAAAAGAACAAGAGTTCCAATGTCCCCCGTGTTGCACATATTTTATCTATCCAGGGGCAATAACTAAAAAAAAAAACCCACTTTTTTTTGTTGTTCTCTAAAACAATTCGTAAATAAAAAGCGTGCGCTTGGGACAAAAAAGTTTTTTTTATTGTATACTAAAATATTTCAAACAGATCTTCAAGGGCATTACTTATAGTATACTATAAGTTTTATAAAAAAATTGTACCCGTGAGAGTGCTACGAGTCCATTTTCCATAAATTTAATATTTCCAAGGGGCATACCTCTTAAAAAAAGTCGATCGGCCACCATTATAAAACTTGTCCGAGATATTGCTGATATTAACCTATAGTATAAGTTTTATAAAAATCTGGCAAGAATTGTACCTGTGAGAGCGCTAAGAAGACTGGACGGACGCCGAGATTCCTCCATATCCCCCGCAACGTGTTACGCAGGGTACAAAAATTGTGCTAGGTATACAGAGCTTACCGAATAAAGGCTTGTATAGTACGCAGTTTTATTCTCCAAAATTGAACTGCCAGATAGGGGTGCGGACTATAGAGTACTATAAGCAAGGAATAATAAAAAAAATTCTATTTCGCGAGGTGGTTTGTTAACGTTCCACCTTGTTTGTTATTGATATTGTAGAGTGTGCTCTAATCATTTTCAAAACTAATAATTTAACTAATCCCTATTAATATGCTATTTTTATTCAATATCAAGTTAATACTGATAAATTTAAAAATTAAATGCTTCACTTCAAATTTCTCGTTTCTTTTCACTGCATTGCTTAAAAAATCTCTGGAATCTGCTTGAATGTAACGGAACGAAAAAAGTATAAAAGTCAACCGTAAACCAGCTTACGATGTATAAAATACAAAATGTAATCGGTTATTTGTTCCTTTGGTGTTTCATACTGACATATGTGTTTTGTATTGGCTTAAGATCCTTCAAACATTAATGTTATAGATATATTAAATATTGTTTTACACAAGAATGGAACTGTTTCACTTTAAAGTTGATTTCAACTGATACCTATTAAGTACGGATTTCCCTTACACTCTCACCATATTTATTTTCTTTTACACATGCTATTCAAACTTCCAGTTTAAACATACACAAGTTTCTAAATTGCTTTTTGTGTGATATTGACTATTTTAACAATCGTGCGGTGTTCTAGAACCATTTACAAGCAGTTTCAACTTCTGTTTGAAGATGGAAAACAATACCGCAAACAACCACACACGATTTGAAATTACCAGAGTTTTGTGAGACATTTTCTAACAGGAGTTTTTTTACCTGAAATTTCGTGGCGAGAATGAGGGTGCGGACAATGTAATAGTGCAAACTATACAAGCCCGTTTAAGGTAATATATACCCTTTTGGGGAAATGGTGATTTTTTTTACTAGAGGTTTTCTCTAGAAAAGGCACAATTTTCAAGTCATAATCAAAGTGCTGGATAGCACCTGTGGAAAGTTTGCGACGGTAGATGTTTAATATTTCAAATAGGTTGTAAATGTGTAGATTGGGTGTTTAACTTGTTTTCCTACTTTAAAAAAAACCTACTCAATACAAAAAATAATTGTAACATGATGCTGTTACGAAGTCTCCCAAACAAAGCTCCCATAATTAGTCATTCCCAGGAAATGGGTGGGAGTGACCCCAAGGGATTCGCCTTTTATTTCATTTGATTTGTTTTATTGTACCATACAAGAATATATATGGTTTCGGAGTGGGGATCTTGACTGTTTTTAAAAGTTCTCAAAACAGGATGGGGTGGGGGTGACACCCAGGGACTCCCTCTATATTTCATTTGATTTGTTTTATTGTCCCATACAAGAATAAATATGGTTTAGGGGTGGGGATCTCGACCGTTTACAAGTTTTCAAAAAGAAGGGGGGTGGGGTGACCCCTGTGGAGTTCCTCTATATTTCATTTGATTTGTTTTATTGTCCCATACAAGAATAAATATGGTTTATGAGTGGTGATCTCGACCGTTTACAAGTTCTTAAACAGGAAGGGGGTGGGGGTGACACCCAGGGACTTCCTCTATATTTCATTTGATTTGTTTTATTGTCCCATACAAGAATAAATATGGTTTAGGGGTGGGGATCTCGACCGTTTACAAGTTTTCAAAAAGAAGGGGGGTGGGGTGACCCCTGTGGACTTCCTCTATATTTCATTTGATTTGTTTTATTGTCCCATACAAGAATAAATATGGTTTAGGGGTGGGGATCTCGACCGTTTACAAGTTCTTAAACAGGAAGGGGGTGGGAGTGACCCCAGGGGACTCGCCTTTTATTTCATTTGATTTGTTTTATTGTCTCGTACAAGAATATTTATAGTTTCGGGGTGGGGATCTTGACCGTTTACAAGTTCTCAAAACAGGATGGGGTGGGGGTGACACCCAGGGACTCCCCCTATATTTCATTTGACTTGTTTTATGGTCCCATACAAGAATATATATGGTTTAGGGGTGGGGATCTCGACCGTTTACAAATTTTCAAAAAGAAGGGGGGTGGGATGACCCCTGTGGACTTCCTCCAATTTCATTTGATTTGTTTTATTGTCCCATACAAGAATATATATGGTTTATGGGTGGGGATTTCCACCGTTTACAAGTTCTTAAACAGGAGGGGGTGGGGCTGATCCAGAGGGACTCCCGTTATATTTCATTTGATTTGTTTTATGATCCTGTGTTCATTACGGAAAACCGCATGTGTCTATCACTTACTGTTTTCACGTTATAGTCATTTGAAAATTTAAAAAAAATAAATCCCATAGGGTTCTATAGTAAATCCCTCCCTTCTGTTGGTCCCTCAAAATACCCCTAAATAGACCTCAAGAAGAAAAATAATAAGAACTGAGCAAAACAATAAGACTCCAAACTTTGTTTGGGAGACTAAATAGCAAGTAGTATAATTACGAATTTTGTTATAGTCCGATTTTCTGATGCCGATTATGTAATAGGCAGAGTTTATTAAAGTCCGAGTCTGTTGTGGGCCGAGATGAGATACCGGGATACTTTCGATACACTTGGGCTTTTACGTCTTTAATAAATATTGTAAAAATCGTAGTAAGCGTCGAAAAATGTTCATTCATGAAATATTTTAAACACAGTATTTATTTTCTCTTCAACCGGAGGACAGGAGGAAACCCCTGAAACTGGGATTATAGTACTCCCGTTGATATGGATCTCACGCATGTCTGGGGAATACCGATAAAAGCATAACGTAGAAACTGCTGTCTTGTGTAGATGTGTATTGATTTTACTTCCGTGCAGCGCAGATCCGCGAAGTAGTGTTTGTGATAGCCATTTTCAAAATGAAGTTGAATTATTTGAATTATCGATAAACATTCAGTATATTTTAATTCAAACTGTAAACTAATCAAAATAGAAGTAACTCAAAATTTCAAAAGCATCTTCCTAGAATTAGTTGTCAAACACAAGTACTACTTTAACTAGGAGTAGAACACACATCCTAAAGTAAGATAGTCTGTCACTTCCAGTTTGAGGCCAATGCCTTAGGAAAGATTTTGCTATAGCAAGCTATAGCAAACTTTCCAAAAATTACATGAGTACTTACTATGACGATTAGCCTTAATTGAACACTTCTTCACCAAAATACTTATTGCATAAAAAGTACTATCAAGGTGCATTGCCTGATACTGGAGGTTAACCAGTTTACCTGAACGGTAAACTAGAAGTACCAGATTTTAGATTCATCATATATCTGTGCTCAAGTATCCTTTCATCTCTGTTCTGAGCTTCACATTCTCCATTCAATAAAATATAAAGGGAGAAAAAAATAAATTATGTTGATTCATAAATATTTCCCTTTAACATACCTTTACTACTAGATCTGTACATTTACCAACTATCTGCAAGCCATGAGATTTGTCTACTGATATACTTATATTATATGTGTAATTCTCTTTCTTATGACCAGCATGCAGGTACATATAAGTCATGTCAGGTGAATGACCTAAATAAATCATATCGTGTTTACCTGAAAAACAAAGCAATATTGCCTAAATAAAGCATATTGTGTTAACCTGAATCAAAGCGCGAAAGCGCTGTAAAGGCAGTTAATTGCATTTTTAGTCCAGTTATATCATTATCTTGCATAGTACATTGTACTTATCAGAGGTGGCTTTCAGTATTTAAGATTTAGAGTTCTCTAATGATATTGAACAAGTTTTATGAATGTCATATTCTGAGCACTATATGAAGGCTATTGTTCTCACTTGTTTATGAACTAGTGCATTATGTCCAGTTTGTACCTTTTTTATCTATGTTTATAGTCAAGTACTGTTTAAAATAGTTTGGCATTTTCTCTTTAGTAATAATTAAATTTAATCATCTGTATTTTATTCAACTTTGCAAATGTGGTTTGTTACTGGTAAGTACAATGTATGGATGATAGTTGTTTCATTGGCAATCATAACACATCTCCTTATTTATATAATGATCTATATTCAACGACCTCAGGTACAAAAAAAATGTACGTAACTAAACTATGATGGGAAACCTTTGACTTCTTTCTTTTATATACCCGGTAAACTTTTGATTTGGTACCATAGAACTATGTAGAATAAATGTACATTGCAACATGTCAACTCTTTCAATGACAATACTTTTTTAGAAACTAGAACTCCAAGCAAAATTATATTTCCAAGTATAAACTAATTTATGAATGAAACAAGAGTGCATACGCTGAAATGTCTCGCCTTATTTACTAATCATTGATATTATGTTGATAGTCCTAAATATAAAGCTTTATTACAACTGTCACATAAACTTAACATTAACCAAGTAAACTAAACATTGACCAATGAACCAAGAAAATGAGGTCAAGGTCAGATGAACCATGCTAGGCAGGCATGTACAGCTAACAATTCTTCCATACAACAAATATAGTTGACCTATTGCTTATAGTTTAAGAAAAACAGACCAAAATACAAAAACTTAAAACTGAGCATTGAACCTTGAAAATGAGGTCAAGGTAAAAAAAAACCTGCGTGACTGACAAATAGATCATAAAATATTTCCATACACCAAATATAGTTGAACTATTGCATATAGTATTAGAAAAAAAGACCAAAACTCAAAAACTTAACTCTGACCACTGAACCATGAAAATGAGGTCAAGGTCAGATGACACCTGCCAGCTAGACATGTACACCTTACAATCATTCCATACACCAAATATAGTAGACCTATTGCATACAGTATAAGAAAAACAGACCAAAACACAAAAACTTAACTATAACCACTGAACCATGAAAATGAGGTCAAGGTCAGATGACACCTACCAGTTGGACATGTACACCTTACAGTCCTTCCATACACCGAATATACTAGACCTATTGCTTATAGTATCTGAGATATGGACTTGACCACCAAAACTTAACCTTGTTCACTGATCCATGAAATGAGGTCGAGGTCAAGTGAAAACTGTCCGACGGGCATGAGGACCTTGTAAGGTACGCACATACCAAATATAGTTATCCTATTACTTATAATAAGAGAGAATTTAACATTACAAAAAATCTTAACTTTTTTTTCAAGTAGTCACTGAACCATGAAAATGAGGTCAAGGACATTGGACATGTGACTGACGGAAACTTCGTAACATGAGGCATCCATATACAAAGTATGAAGCATCCAGACCTTCCACCTTCTAAAATATAAAGCTTTTAAGAAGTTAGCTAACGCCGCCGCCGGATCCCTATCCCTATGTCGAGCTTTCTACGACAAAAGTCGCAGGCTCGACAAAAAGGAGTTCTTAATTAAGAAATAAACTGATTCGCTGAGCGCAGCTGGATACACCCGCAGAGGTCCAACCCTGAACAGTTGGGGCAAAAATGGACACAATATTCAAGCTTGATACAGGTCTGAATTTGGATTGTAATTAAATATTTGACATATTATAGTTTCTGAATAAATGTGGTCAAAGAACTTGAAATCGGTTACATGTATATGAATTGAATTTATATTCAATTAAAGATTTCTTGCTGTTATGCAATACACTGTGCTGTTGCGCAATACTTAATAAATCTGTTGCCAGACTATAAACAAATAAAGTTCAATTTCTTCTCAATGTCATATTTGAAATTCATGAAAATCAATATGGAGATTACATCAATAGCTATAAATAATTCATGCGAACTGCTTAAAGCATTTTTGAGTTGTTGTCCAAAAACTGGAAAATCCCCCCTTTTTTAATGAATAAAACCCCATAACTCAGAAATGTAAAATCTAAAATTTATAAAATTCTAAAGGGAGCTTACGGATTGATAATTTAGTCTTAGATGCAAGATTTTTTTATCAGTTGTTAGTGGCTTTGAACAAGCTGTCAGTAAATGCGAGTACTCTCAGATCTGTACTTAGTGTCTTTTTGTTGTTTGGATGTACAACTACCCGGCCACGTCCACTTGTATTTGTATTTATCCGTCTGATGAGTTAAGCCTCTTTCAACTGATTTTTATAGTTCATTCTTATATTGTACTGTTACACCACTGTCCCAGGTTAGGGGTTGGGTTGAGATCCCGCTAACATGTTTAACCCCGCCACATTCTGTATGTACATGTGTGTGCCTGTCCCAAGTCAGGAGCCTGTAATTCAGTGGTTATCTTTTGTTTATATGTTGCATATTTGTTATTCTTTCATTTTTTGTACATAAATTAGGCCGTTGGTTTTCTTGTTTGAATTGTTTTACATTGTCATTTCGGGGCCTTTTATAGCTCACTGTGCGGTATGTGCTTTGCTCATTGTTGAAGGCCTTACTGTGACCTATAGCTGTTAATTTCTGTGTCATATGGTCTCTTGTGGAGAGTTGTCTCATTGGCAATCATACCACATCTTCTTTTTTATATTTACATCAACAGATATAAACAATTCACCAAAGTCAAGGTGAGACAACAAAACTTAGTTGTAAGATCTCTGAAATTTTTTACACGGTACAAGTTTTTCTAATTGTTGGAGATTGTACGGTGACAGTAACACCTGTAACTGCTTAACCCATTTCTTATGCACTTTGGTTCGATAAACTCACTGAATATATATCATACCACATCTCCTTATTTTTATACATGCATGCATTACAATTTACATGTGCATGTAATTGTAAATAATATTTATATATATATATATATCAGAACAAACTTCATTGCGTCACTTTTATTTATGCATCCTTTGGCACAATACAAGTTCTAAAATTACACAACATAAAACAACTAAATGTTATTTCAGATGAAAGTTTTGTTTCAGTTCCATTCATAGGATTTATTAGAATTTTGTATGTTTTGCCAAGTCCAATAATTAGCTCTATGTGCACGTGTTAATTGGAGACTTTTCTATCCCGTATAAGAGTTTTGGAACTAATTCTGTTTCTTTTTTTGAAAAAAGTGAGCAAACAAATCTTGCAAATTTAAACCTTTGTCTGCCATCACACTGTCACCTGGATCACATAATTGAACTATTCTACATCTTTCAACTATTTCACAGTCACTGGTACAACCAACATATGCATTAGAGACATAGTTGACTAAACCACCAGGTGTCGAACATACAAGTATTTTCAGTGTTTCTGTTTTTATATGATGAAAAGGTTGCCTGAGCTCTAGGAGCTTTAGGTTTTATGAAGGGATATTCTGTGCTTTCAATAATAATCCAAGTTGTAGGAAACTTTAATTTGAAGTTGGATGGCGAAAAATACCTGACTAAACCACTAAATGGCCAAGTGTTAGCCTCACGCCACTGTTTAGACATAAAAACAATCCATGTTTACACAATATTCTTAACACTAGTTTCAATCTAGAATCTAGACAGTTCAAAGTTGGTTGTATAATGCCTCAATTTCATCAAAGTCATAAAAAAACTGATTTTCAAATGACACCCTATCAATTTGAAAATATATGTATCTCAAACAATGTGCTGCTGGACCAAGTGTGGTCAAAACAAATAAAAATTTAGTATACAACTCTAAACCGGTATAAAAATGCATGGCTGTGTCACGTGTCTTCATTTCAAAATTCTCTGCTGAAAATATAGGCATTGATGGTGTTTGCGTAATTCCATCTGTGAAGCTCAACATATTAGCTCGGCAGTTGGTGGTGGACAGTCATAAATCCTGTCTGCAGTATGAATGACTTCTTCAGGAAAACCAACTTTACGATCAAAACTTTCCTCTAGATTTCTACTACAATATTCATCAAGTTTAGTTCTTTTGTTTTCACAGGAAACTGCCCTGATTTTTCTTTTTGCGGACGATTCAGTCTCTTGCTTAGTCCAGGAAAATAGGCTGGGAATGGCAGTAGACTTAAGTCTCTGTATGGTGGGTTTGCGCCCTGAAAAAGGTTATAAAACATTAGTTTTTTGATAATTAAATGAACTTCCATTTGCAATGCATACTTTGTACTACCTGGCAAAATATTAACTAGATTTATTCATTACAATCTGGATAAAACTATGTTAGCCTGATTCAATGTACATCAAAATGTATGTTATGTAAATCCAAAGGACAAACAATGAGAGACGTATGCAACAAACATACATTGTTTGTACCTAAATAACTATAACATAGATGAGAGCATGTCATTGTTTTGTTCCTGTTAACATTGTCATTGATATTTTTCAAGAAAGTCTATGAGGCATAGCTTATGCATTCATGTCATTACTACATTAGCATAATTACTGCTAAAATAATTCTCAGTATGATAAACCTCTTGTAAGAAATCATTATAATTGTAGCAAGCACCAAAAAATCTCAAACAGATCACACTGAATCGTAATCTAAAAAAGTATGACGTCTTGAATTAACCACCCCCTTTTATTCTAAAACGATAATTGCGGTTGTAAACAGACTTTGGTTTATTCGCATGGCGATTACATATATAACTATATATTTTAAAAAAGAAAATAGAGTTTTACCATGAATAGTTTCCCGCATGTAGTCTTTTCAGTAAAATGTGCCTGCAAACAACAGCTGATTGAGATGGACTCCACGATTTCATCGTGTTCTCGTCCAATCTGCGTATGGGCCATGGCGTTGATCCAACTTTTCCTTCTTTTTAAGTCATTTGGAAATGCATGTCCTCTTAAATGACATCCAGGTACACAACAACAAGTACTTGGCATAGTTAATTAAAATGCAACTGTAGTTGCACAGTGCAGAAACCGGAAGTTGAAGAACAGGATCGGCTACCACGGCGCCACCTATTCAGGAACGATAATTTGCTACTTTATATAACTGCGAAATAACAATAACGTTAGACGGGTTCGCGTGCATAAACAGAAATGCGCTTTAAATTGTATAATATAATTCATGTTCAGTCGACCTTTAATTATTATATCAACGACTGAAATGATTTATAAACATCTAGATTACAGATAACACTCGAAATTAACCCGACCTCTTTCCACACGGAATTCAAATAATTCTAGTTTGTCAATCGGTTGACTGCTTATAATAAAAAATTCAAATATATCAAAAGTTTTTAAAACTAACAAAACACAATGATCGTTTCTCTATTTCCCAATGTAAATGAAATGAAACAAAAAACATTTTATATCACAATAAGAAGAGGAGAGAATCAACATTTTCTGGATCTACTTGGAGCCTAATGACCCCCCACGTAGATAAGTTGGATATCGCGGAAAGAAAGATTAACACGGCAACCAGAAAGGCATTAAAGCACTGCCTTTAAAAACAAAGCAATATTACCTAAATAAAGCATATTGTGTTTACCTGAAATACAAAGCAATATTACCTAAATAAAGCATTTTGTGTTTACCTGAAAAACAAAGCAATATTACCTAAATAAAGCATATTGTGTTAACCTGAAAAACAAAGCAATATTACCTAAATAAAGCATATTGTGTCAACCAGAAAAACAAAGCAATATACCTAAATAAAGCATGTTGTGTTTACCAGTACATGAAAAACAAGCAATATTAAACTGCATTTTCACAACTTCTGGTACTAAACACTCCTTGAAATATGGTTTAATTGGAAATGTTAGAAGATTTATTCTATATTTACTATAAAATCTATATTTTTCTATAATTTCAACCTTTAAGTAAAGCAGAACTAACAGAATTTGTGAAAACAGAAATAAATGTTTGAGTATTTCTAAGGAATCTGTAAAATTTAATTTAATAGACAATGTGTGAAGGACCAATTAACTTATGAATACTTATTAAACAGTGTTATAATATTATTTCCATGGGTACAGGTGAACAACAAATTTAAATGTTCAACAAAGTACATATTTTCTAAAGGCTTGAATCCAGACTTTTGTAAAACCATGAAAATACAATGTTTCCTTAATCCAAGAAAATTGGTATATAACAAAAATAAAAGAATCCCCAGTAAATATGAAATATCTTGCATACATGGCTGCCTTAGTGCCATTGCCTATTAGGACTTAGATGTAATATTTTTTTAAACTTGGACTACATAAAAAAGTCATTTACATTCTAATGTAAAATAAACAAAACATCAAATTTTAGTCATTATTTTGTTGTTTATATTAAGTTTTTACCAGTTTCTGATGTTTGATACACATTATATAAAACTGTATCATGGAGACCAGTTGTATTGGCATCACAAGTTATATTAAACTCAGTGATCAACGAATACCCTTCTTCAGGGGAGATAATACATGTACATCGTACAGATTCAGATGAATCCTGTCTGTTATCTTCTATAGGCTGAACAAAGTTATCAAAGGCAGAATGTGAGGTCTTTACAGTAGCGCTTTCCAATAAATTTCCTGTAATACAAAAAAAAAGTCATAAAAAATGTCACCTTACATACATAGAACAAAACATCCAAAAACATTTGATACCTCCAGCTTTTAATTAATCTGCAGTTAAAATGTTTTCAATTTTCAGTCTCAGAAATTTGATTTTTTAAATGAAGCAAATTCAACAGATAGAGAGTTTTACAGAATTTGCCTCATTTAAATATCAAATTTCTGAGACTGAAAATTGAAAACATTTTAACTGCAGATTAATTTTGAAGAAAGGTTTCAAAAGTAAGAATAATATCTAATTTTACTCTTTGTCCTTTAACTAGACAGGAATTACCAATAAAATTATTGATGATGAACCCAATGTTCTCAGAAGTTAAATTTTACAGTTTCTTTTAAAAAGTTCAAGACATTTTTGTTCTAATTGAGTGTTCATTTATTACAATGTAAGATATAAATAGATATGAAGAATTATAATAAATTAATTAGCCAACACTTTTTTTTGTGAGCAAGAAGGAAAACAAGTTCTAAACAAAAACGTGTATGTAAGTTGGCAAAAACAAATTGAGAGTGGCAAAAAAATGCAGTTTTGGTGAAAGAAGTGGAAAATAAGAAATTGAACCAGGGGAGACCCTGTATAGAAATCTTAGATATTTGAGATTGAAATGTTTCCCTTTTGTATATAAACTAGAGGCTCTCAAAAGCCTGTGTCGCTCACCTGTATCTACTGTGTTTTTGGAAATCATATGAAATAAGGTTAAAATCATAATAAATAGTATTAGATACCCTAATAATGATTGAGGCCAAGTTTGGTTTAATTTGGCCCAGTAGTTAAATTAAAAGCAGGTCATCCCATTGTAGTCTTACAATAGTTACTGAAGACCCCCCTTATCATTATTTAAATTAGTTTTCAAGTTGTGACCATTTGAAATTGTTTTTTTTTTCACAATTTTCCCTTAGACTTCTATAGTAAACCCCTATGATCTATTTTTAGCCATGGAGGCCATGTTGGTTGGATGACAGGGTCATCAGATACATTTTTTAATCAAGATACCCTATTGAAAATTGTGGCTAACATTACTTCTATTTGGCCAAGTAGATTAAGTAGAAAAGATTTTTGTAAAAGATTACAAAAATTTACGAAAAATTGAATATAAAGGACAATAACTCCTTAAGGGGTCAATTGACAATTTTGGTCAGGTTTGACTTATTTGTAGAGCTTACTTTGCTGAACATTTTTGCTGTTTACAGTTTATCTGTATCTATTATAATATTTAAGATAACCAAAAACTGCAAAAAAATTTCCTTAAAATTACCAAATCAGGTGCAGCAACCCAACAACGGGTTGTCTGATGCGTCTGAAAATTTCAGGGGAGATAGAGCTTGACCTAATGAACAATTTTATTCCATGTCAGATTTTCTCTATATGCTTTAGTTTCTGAGATATAACCAAATTGCATTTTACCCCCCCCCCCCCCCCCCCGTTCTATTTTTAGCCATGGCGGCCATCTTGGCTGATGGGCGGGGTCATAGGATAAATTTTTTAAACTAGATACCCATAGGATGATTTAGGCCAAGTTTGGTTTAATTTGGCCCAGTAGTTTCAGAGAAGATTTTTGTAAAAGTTAACGAAGACGATGACGGATGCCAAGTGATGAGAAAAGCTCACTTGGCCCTCTGGGCCAGGCGAGCTAAAAATGTTGATGCACTGAATTTCACACAAGCATAATATAATGATAAAATAATATCACAATTTCTTATCAACTGTTTATTAAACAATAATATCTTGTCTTCAAATACTGAAAGCATGCATGTCATACCTGTTTTTTTGCGGAAAATACTCGTCATTCTAACTGCTACATTTTCACAATGCCTAAAATAAGGGACAAATTAAAAATCAAAATGAATGTGGGAAGGTAGGAATAAAAGTTTTATTTTTAGACATGGCTTGCTGGTCATTTATGGTTGTACATTCATTTGATGTACACAAAATTACTCAAGATAGCACATAGGGTACAGGGGGATTTTTGGGAAATTCCTTAATACTCTCTCATGTCTGTTTAAATAGAATAACCCTTTTGTCAAATATATGAGAATTTTTTCATTATGACCATATCATTCTTATGAGAAATTAAAAGATTTATTTCTATCAAAAAACAATAAAAGTATTAAGATAAAAGTGTGAGATATATTTGCTGTTGTTGTAGCTAGAGTATTTGCATAGACTTGATAATTCTTTTAATTTCTGAGGAGTCAACAGAATAAAGCTGGATTTTACCACTAAATTACAAGCAGACTTAACAGTTTAAAAATATAGAATATAGATAGAAAATTTTCAAAGCCATGTGTACATAAGCATAAAAGTGCAAAATTTATGGAAAAGCTTAAGCATTACGGATAATATTTTTTTTGTCTTTGCTGCAAATAATATTGTGAAAAGAGACAAATGTTTTACTTTTACAGTTCTGCTGCTGTCAACACTGAATGTCAAATTTTCTGATTAGGTCCATTCAGTATTTTATAAGGTCCATTTCAGAATTCATACACATTACAGATTATTGATTTTTGGCAAACAATTGCATTGGCACTGAAATATCTTGAATGATATCAATTAAGTCCTCAATTCCCCACTCTCAGTAATACTCCAGTGTACACAGATAATATACAGTGTTTATAACAAAACATGATTTTCTGGTAGGAGGAACAAATATACACCACTGTCCCAGGTTAGGGGATGGTTGAACGCTCACAAACATGTTAAACCTGGCTAAATTCTTTATGTGCCTATCCCAAGTCAGGAGCCTGTAATCCAGTGCTGAGTGGTTGTCATTAGTTGCTGTCTGTTTTAGCTTAAATCAGACTGTTGATATTCTCATTTGAATTGTTACACATTTTGGCATGCCAATACTATTATAGCTTACTATACAGTATTCAAACATTAAAAACTAGAGGCTCTGAAGAGACTGTGTCGCTCACCTGTATCTTCTGTGGTTTAGGAAATTATGTAAAATAAGGTTAAAATCATATAGATACCCTAATATAATGATTGAGGCCAAGTTTGGTTTAATTTTGCCCAGTAGTTAAATTAAATGCAGAAGATTTTTGAAAAGATTTACAAAAGTTACCAATAAATTGCAGAAAATAACTTTAAAGGACAATAACTCCAATAAGATGTTAATTGCCAATTGTTCATGTTAACTTATTTGTAAACCTTTCTTTGCTTGATTTTTTGCTGTTTACAGTATATCTCAATCTATAATGATATTGCAGATAATTAACAAAATATAAAAAAATTCCTTTCCTCCGCTCCAATATTAATTTCCCCCAGGGCCTGTATAATGCTGAAAATTGGGCAGAGGTTCCCCTGACCCCAACTAATCTGCGGGGTTTGGGGGGGGGGGGGGGGGGGGGGGGGGGGGCATTACCCAATATAAGTATGCTGAAAGAAAAGATATAATAATGGTTTATAGCAAAAGTAACACTGAATAATTCTGACAATCAGCACGCCCCCCCCCCCCCTCCCTTGAAAAAATTGCACCCCCTGGAAAAAAAATCAAGTCATCCCATTGTAGTCTTACTATATTTACTGAAGACCCCTTATCATTATTTAAATTAGTTTTGAAGTTGTGACCATTTGAAATTGTTTTTTTACATTTTTCCCATAGACCTATAGTAAACCCCTATGTTCTATTTTGACCAATGGGGACCATTTTGGTTGTAGGGCAGGGTCATTGGATACATTTTTCAATCAAGATACTCTAATGATAATTGTGGCTAAGTTTAATTCCATTTGGCCAAGTAGATTAAGAGAAGATTTTTGTAAAAGATTAAAAAAATTTAAGAAAAATAGTGAAAAATTGACTTAAAAGAGCAATAACTCCTTAAGGGGTCAATTGACAATTTTGGTCATGTTCGACTTATTTGTAGATCTTACTTTGCTGAACAGTTTTGCTGTTTACAGTTTATCTGTATCTATTATAATATTCAAGATAATAACCAAAAACTGCAAAATTTCCTTAAAATTACCAATTTAGGGGCATCAACCCAACAACGGGTTGTCTGATGCGTCTGAAAATTTCAGGGCAGATAGATCTTGACCTGATGAACATTTTTTTCAGATTTGCTCTGAATGCTTTAGTTTCAAAGATATAAGCCAAAAACTGCATTTTACCCCTATGTTCTATTTTTAGCCATGGTGGCCATCTTGATTCGTGGGCGGGGTCATCGGATACATTTTTTAAACTAGATAACCTAAGGATGATTTAGGCCAAGTTTGATTTATTTTGGCTCAGTGGTTTCAGAGGAGAAGATTTTTGTAAAAGTTAATGATGACAACGACGGACGCCAAGTGATGAGAAAAGCTCACTTGACCCTTTGGGTCAGGTGACCTAAAAATGTGCAAACAGGCCCTTGTGACATGCTAGTTTCTTAGTTTTTTTCTTGATGTAAGTCATAATTTTTCTATTTACAGAAGTTTTCAAGATAATAGACAAAACTTTTTTTACCCCAATGTTCTATTTTAAGCTATGTTGGCCATCTTGATTGGCAGGCTGGGTCATCAAACATTTTTTTTAAACTAGTTACCATAATGATGATTGTGAACAAGTTTTGTTAAATTTGGCTCAGTAGTTCCAGAGGAGATGATTTTTGTAAAAGTTAACGAAGACGACGGACGCCAAGTGATTAGAAAAGCTCACCTGGACTTTCAGCCAGGTGATCTAAATAATAAGAATAACAGCAAGAAAAAACATTTTCTGTTTGAGGCACAAAGACTGATGCATTCAATTTCAGTTTTCCAGATTTCCAAAGATCTTTCACTTTTGGAGATTATAAAATAAATTTTCAAACCAAAAATTTGACAGACCCGAATTTCTAGATAATGTTAATCAAATGTTCTGGAAATTCAGGTCCATTAAAAAAAATAGTTAAGGAGTTTGGTTTTTATTTTATACTCTCAGAAAGTGAAGGATCATTGGGAATCTGGGAAACTAGTTTAAATACAAAGAAGGTCATTGCACATCTTGGATGGAATTGTAACTTATTTAATTATTACTTTTGGATATTTCTGGAAATATTTGGCTCCAACAAGCACACAAAAGATAAGAATTTGTATATATGCAAAAATGTCTAGCTGTCAATGAAGATTTCAAGGCAAAATTGGGTTTCAAAGTTGAGAGCAAAATTCTATCTCAAAGTTCAGACGAAAAAAATGGTTTCAGTCAGCGTTATGATGTAGTAAGGAAGGTGTCACAGCAAACAAGAGGCTCATGAGAGCCTGATATCGCTGGCCTGTAATTTCAGTTTCAGGCATTAGACTTATTTGTAGATCTTACTTTGCTGAACAATTTTGTCATTTACACTTTCTCTCTTTCTATAATAACATTAAATATAATACATAACCCAAAACTGCAAAATTTCCTAACTAGAGGCTCTAAAGAGCCAGTGTCAATCACCTTGGTATATGTGCATATTCAACAAAGAACACTCTCCAACTAGAATTCATGACAAAAATCTGTTTTGTTGATCTTGTATTGCTGATCATTTAGCCTGTTTAGTTTCTCTCTATCTTCTTTAGTTTTTGCTCAAAATACAAAAGAGGATAAAAAATCCTCATTTAAGGGCAATCACTCCTATAAAGAGTCACAGTCACAATCTACTTAACTATATCGGCAAAATTTGACTTGTAAGTAGATCCTGACTTGCTGATCATTTTTGTGATTTAAAGTGTATCTGCATCTACTATAATTTTCTATCATACATGACAAAACACAAAAAAAAAAAAAATGTGAAAATCGTCTTTACAGGGCAATAAAGGCATCAGTTGTATACCGGTGTTCAAAAGTCATAAATCGATTGAAAGAAAACAAATCCGGGTTACAAACTAAAACCAAGGGAAACATCAACTATAAGAGAAAACAAAGGAACAACAGGAACACTGTAGTGCAACAAAAACAAACAACAACATACATAGAAACAAACTGACTTGGTACAGGACATTTTAAGAAAAAATGGTGGGTTGAACCTGGTTTCATGGCATGCCAAACCTCCCGCTTTATGACAATGTTAAAAAATATCGCTAAAACACTATGTGACAGAAATACAGCACAAACACATGCAAGAACATTCATAACAGAGAAACTCACAACAAATAATATAATAGTTGACACAACATGCACACCACAGAACAACAACGAACATATTCCATCAACAAAAAACACCACAGGATGTCAAAAGCAGTGATGCGCAATCTCAAACATTATACAATTATATCCACAATATTCGTCCAAACAATTTTCATGACAATGATGGTATGGAAAGGCAATTTTATAATTTTTTGGACTACAAGCGATGAGACGTAACACATTATTCAATCGAAACCTTAATAAAAACATCAAAAATAAATACATGAATGTTGGATGTACAAAATACCAAGACACATTGTAAATAGCAATGTAAATTCAATCTCAGAATAACAGTCATATTTGGTAATAGGTCACGTTCGGTACTTAGCAGACAACATAGATGTTAAACCACAATCTAAGACGTGGTAAAAATGTCATTAGTTAGTTTAGACACAGACACATCATATAGATCAATCAATTCGTGATGGTTTCCATTAAACTCCAATAAGGAGTTGTCTGACCATTTCCTCCATATTGTCTTCATTGTAGATTTTGTTTTACTGATCTTTTTTGCCTAGCCAAGTTTCTATCTGTCTATCATAATTTTAAGATATAAGGCAAAAACGCAAAAAATTGGTCAAAATCATCATCAAAGGGCAATAACTCTAACAAGGAGTGGATTGACGATTTCGACCATGTTGACCTATTTGTAGAATTTGCCTTGCTGATCATCTTAAAGTTTCTCTGTATC